AACATAACCCACTCTGCTAGCACAGCTGCCATGTACTATCAGTAATTTCTGATATATATTTGTTTTTCCATGCCATGATGCCAGATTGTCCAGCATCACTCTTTGTATGTCCTTCTGTCTCTCTTTTTCCGCAGTCTTCCAGTTATCACAATGTACTCCAGTTTTCCCTTTTTGTCAAACCCTAATTAATTTCATGGGAATCATCGTGGTGTAGCAGCTAGACGCTCGCCCACTGATCGAAAGGTCATGGGATCAAGTCCCTGATGGAACTGGACTTTCTTCAAAAATGACCTTGGCTCCCAGGTCGACCCAGCCTTAAGTGGGTACCAGGTGCAGTCCTGGGAAGTAAAGGCGGCTGGCATGATGTTGACCACATCACCCACCAAGTGCCTATTGGTCTGATCACAGGCTCGCAAAAAAACTCTTCTATGGTGAGCTGCAAAATGGGAAACTTTCCCAAGGCGGGCAAAAAAACGCTTTAAGGACACCTTGAAGTCTTTACTCAAAGCATTTGAGATGAATGACACCAATTGGGAGGCTGCCTCTCAAGACCGAAATGCATGGCGTGCAGCTCGACACAAGGGCGCGGCTACATGTGAAGCAAACAGAACAACAAGACTCATTAAGAAAAGGATGGACAGAAAGGCGACTGCAGGAGATCTCCTCCCTGGCACAACGCTCATTCCCTGTCCTCACTGTCCAAGAACTTGTCGGGCCCGCATCGGCCTCATCAGTCATCTTCGTATTCATACTTGATGAAAAAGAGTGGTCATCATCATCTTGATGGACAACACACATTAGTCTATAAAATTTAGGTCTAGCCCTATACGCCCAATACACCTGAAGGTGTGGGAAAGGGCCTTTTACATTTTTTTTTTACTTAATTAATTAATTTCATAGGTAAACATAAGCTTAGCAGACTCTAATTTTTGATGTTAGACTTTGATGTATCTCTTTGTTTTTTTTTGTTTTGTTTTGTGTTTTTTTTTTTTTTTTTGAAAGATACTGACATTTTTTTTTTAGATAAATGAGTGCAAAGAATTACCTTTGGAATCAGTATTGGAGGTGAAAGGTCAAGTACGTCTCAGACCTGATGGTCAAGAAAATAAGGTCAGCCAAAAATACCTACAATAAAGTAGTTTAGAAATATGTCATGTTAATTATATTTTTTGTAATGAAGGGACTTGTTAAAAAGCAAGTGCATCTGTGGTGGTATGTGACTGGTGTACATACCGACTAATGCAGTATCTGTGTTCAATCCTTGGCAACACATCCAGTCTCACCACACTGGTAATAAGTCGCCTTTTACAAACTTGTTATGGGGCGGTGGGTCATTCTTTTTCTTCTTCTTTCGTTCGCCTGAAATAAGTTGTCTATATCAGCAGTTTTTGTCTCTTGTATAAATTTCACTGTCGTTGTTAGTTAATTCAGTGGTCCATAGAGTTTACGTTCCACTGTTGTTCTTTCTGGCCAAAAGGTTTGCCTTAATGTGTCAGGTGGGACATAATTTTGCCTTCCAAAACAGGACCCTGGAACCCATACTGTAAAAGAAAATAAGATACACTTTTGGGTATGTGTGTCCATGCTTGCCTGTGTGAATTCCATAATTTATTATGCTGAGAAGTTAATATAATTGTATTTTACCATATCGCATGATCATCAGAAGCGCAGATAAGGTCAGTGCTCTTCTCCTGCCCAAGCCATTTGGCTTAGCCAACCAGGCGTTTCATTCATCTTCTTTCCTGTGTTGTTGTTTTTTTTTTCATCATGTTTACTTGTTGTCACCAAGTTTTAGAGTTTATTCCTGTTCTTCTTCTTCCTCTTCACCTTCACTGATTTAAACTCCAATGGAAAATTCTAGTTACTCATCCACTTTCAGACTTTAGTCTTGTTTCAGAAGCTGAGTTTTGCGTGCATATTTGCGTGCATATCTGTTCTACACATCTGTGTCATTTTATGTTCAGACTGTTGGTTCCTCATGTTGTGACCACTAGAAAAGTATGTGGCAAAAGGAAACAGAGGAGCAAAGCATGAGGTGATTTTTGACAGTATTTTGTCCTTTTATGGAGGGGTGTCAGCACATGAACTGATAGGTGCTACTGAAGATCGTAGAGTGTAGATTCATGATTGCCCACTTGTTTTTTCCTTTAATACGGCTGATGTAAGTGTATTTTATTTTCAGAGACATGATAGCCTCTATGAGCCCCTCCTCCTGTATGTTTGCATCCTAAAGAACACCAGTAATGCTCCTGTTCTTGGACCATGGGACTCTAAGAATCTTTCTGTGACAACAAAAAACTTGTTCTTTTTGTTCTTCTACGTATTCACCCGCTGTAAACTGTGGCAGAAAGTTCTGGTGGTTCGTCCACTTCTGGACTCTAGTCCTGTTCCAGAACCTAGGCATTGCATGTACATTCGTTTTATAAATTTAACTCTGTGCAGACTGTTGGTTCCTTGCCCCTTAGGCAGATGCCCTCCAATTTTGAAAGAAGCTCCCAATTAGTCCAATTAGTCGACTCTTAGGACATGCTTGTTGGGAAAAGAGTGGGTCTGTTTTTTCTCTCTTTAATGGGACCCCAGAACCCACACAAGAAATTTAAGTACAAACCTCAATTGTTTTTCCTTTCTGAATTATTGCATATGTGTAAACATTTTGTTTGCAGTTGTTTTTTAAAGTTGATTATTTTTTGTATTTGATATGTGCTGTTGAATCATTTTCATGAAGTGTAGACTTTCCACTTTGGTTGTCCTGTATATGATAAATTCTGTTTCCTAGGAATATTTCCTTTGTCGTAGTACCTTTAATCTGTTTCAGATTACACCAGTAGTCATGTCTTTAATGTGTATTTTTTTCTTCTATTTATTAAGCATCTACTATCTTCTAGTTTACTTGTCCTTAAATATTTATATTTTACTGTCACCCAAGTGTTTTAATTTTTGTTTCGGTCAAGGGGTTGTGTGCGTGCATGTGTATGTGTGTGTGTGAGAGAGACAAATAACAGGGATTTACATTTTTTGTGAGCTCAAAGTCAAAAGAATCCTGTTTTAGACATTTCCCCAAAAAATTTCTCAAGTAAATGTCATCACATGAAGGAGATGGTTAAAGAGGCCTGTTATGCTAGCGTTGTTGTTGTTTTTTTTTTTTTTGTCTACTTTACTGTCAGGGTTGGTAGTAACAAATTATCATTGTAATCTCAAGTGAAGCGTTTTTCCTGAAAAAGTTTTTTTTATTAATCATAACGTAGGATCAAAATGTCACAGACTTTGAATATCTAGGCTCCCCGTGTAAGTTTGGGAGCCCCATTGTAAACAACAGTTCTTAAAAACAAGAATTGACCCACTCCCTCATTGGGCTTCTAGGCAGTAACCTAAGAACGTATGATGCGTTCCTTGGGAGTTAGAGAAAAAAATGTGTGGTTTTTGAGCTGAAAGGCTATAGAAATATTCTCATAATAACATGGACAAAGATAATAAGAAATACCAATGTTCTAAAAGATCTGAACATCAAGGAAGGTTGATAATCAACAGCATCTTGTCTCTGAAGCTGAAATATTATGGCCATATCAAGCGCCATGGTGGATTTAAAACAAAAATAATAGCAGAAGGCATAGTACCATTAAAGAAGGGCAGGGGTATACCAGCATGAAGATGGGCACAAGATATAAATGTCTCATGACTCCTTGAATTGAAAGTACATGAAGCAGAAGATCTGGTTAGAGACTTAGTCTCTTTCAGGCAGACCATGATGAGAACGATGTTCTGCAAAGGACCTGCTACATGATGATGATGAAAGTTGGATGAAGAGGTGCTGAATTACCTATGTAGGTGCACCAGCACCAGGTCTCATACTGCTCAAGACTGATAAACACCTCTCCACAGTCATTCTATGTCCCCAACCGTGGGACCTGGCCAATTTAGAAAGGATTGACATTTCCTTTGAAGTTGGAGTGCATCTGGCTGAGAGGCAAGGAACTAACAGTCTGCACATAGATAAGTCAGATCTGCTGTAAAATGGATGTGTGTGTAAAACTCCAGTGGAAAAATCTCGTTGTTCTTCCATTTCAGGACTTTGGTTTTGTTCTTATGAATCTTGTTAGTGGACTGTGGGTGGATTTTTTTTCTTCACAATGGTATTCCCAAAAACCCGCACGGGGAGGAGAGCTACACTTTTGATTTTTTTTCAAACCCAAACAAGCACTGGTTTCTAAAAACATAATGAGTTACAGTGAAATTTGCCTTGTTCTGAAGAAGTTGAAAGCCACCAAGTTATGGCTGCTTTTTGCATAAGTGTTTTTTTTTATATATTTTTTTAACTACAAATATGAAACTCTTTTTGTTTTCAGGAGTTTAACAAAATGTTTTGTTTCAGTAACCGAATTTGTTCATATTTCCCATATTTGGTTTGCTCTGCTAAGTGAAGAATTGATCAGTAAGTTTTATCAAATCATTGGTAAGGTTATGGTTTTTTTCTGCCAGGGCAAAAAGGAAATACTAATGTGCACAGCCCATCTCGACTGCACTAGCTATGCGGCCATCTTCATCTTCTTTGAGCTCACTGGCTGCAAACTCCAGGGTATAGTTTACCCACTTCTGGACTTTAATCTTGTTTCAGAACTTGTTTTGCCTGCACATCCATTTTACAAATCTAGCCTATTTGTACGCAGACTGTTGGTTCCTTGTCTATCAGGCAGATTCACTGACTTTGGAGGAAAATCCCCTCATTAGTTGACTTTTACAACATGCTTGTTGGGGGTATGGGGAGGGGTGCCTAATGGTTTGATTCCCAACAGGGCAGCCCCGGAACCCACATAGGGGGGGGGGGGGGGGGGGGGGGGGGGGGGGGGGGGGTGCAACCCTAAATCATCAGGCTCAAAGACAAATCCCCACCCCCACCCCCTTCCCCATGTCTTACACCACAAAAGTGGTAAAGACAAGTGTTAATGGCAACTTTTTTCTTGTTTTCTAGAACATGGTGACGGGAGAGGTTGAAGTGGTGGTTGATGATATTAGCTGTCCTGAATACCTGCACCTCCAGTCTTCCATTTGAAATCCGTTCCTTTAATCAGGTTTGTTCATCATTTTCAATGTCTCGGAGAATTGAAATTACCTCAATACTAAGTTAAATTTGTAGAAAATTTCAACTAAACTGTTACACAGATGTGTAAATTCTACAAGATAAGGTTTTTATTTTATGAAATTTTTCTGAGAAGTAAAGATGGCCGGTGTGATGTTGACCACGTTGCCCACTGATTGGGGATTGGTCTGAAAAAATATAAATCTGGCATCATATACTCAGTTTCATCGATAGGAAATTTTAACCAAATTTAATTTCATTGATAAGAAATGTATTCATTTTCTCCCATTTATGGGTGTCTACGGAAAAAGAAGATTATTTTTTCCAGCATTAGAAATCTATGGTTAAGCACTAGCAAGGAGATCAAAATTAGAATTTTGAGAGCATTCATCTTCCCCATAGCAACATACGGATGTGAGTCGTGGACTATCTCCCAGTCCTTAAGAAAGAGAATAGGGGTTTTTAATCTGAAATGCTATAGAAAGATTCTCAGAATATCTTGGACAAAGAAGAGAAGAAATACTGACATCTTGAAAGATCTGAACATCAAGGAAGATTGTGTAATAAACAGTATCCTGTCTCGGAAGCAGAACAATTTTGGTCATATCAAGCGCCACGACGGATTCGAAAAAATAATAGCAGAAGGCATGGTACCAGGTAGGAGAGGCAGGGGCTGACCTACACAAAATGGGCACAGGATATAAGTGGCTCCTTGAGTATGAAAGTACATGAGGTGGGAGAGCTGGTGAGAGACCGTGTTTCTTTCAGGCAGACTATGATGAGAGCGACGTTCTGCAGAGGACCTTGTAATGATGCTATAAATAGGGATAACGTCAGGGGATGACTGGCATAACTGGGTAAGTCCCTGAGAGCATGGGTTTCACGGAGATATGGTGAAATGACAAGAGAGAGTGAGTCACGTGTGAATGCGAGATCTGGGGGATTGAGAATCAGGCGGGGATTCGGTGACTGGGCCCCAGACTGGAAGGATGTGCAACTGAATCTGTGAAGATGAATCCAGAATGAAGAGAGCACGTGGATCTGAATCAGAGTCGAATGAATGATCATGAAGGCCAGCTGTTGTGTTACACTGTTTGATTGTTGAGCCAGCCGTGAATATGCCAGTGTCCATCGTCTGAAGCATGTCTGGAGCTTTAATGCGTGAGCAAGTCGAGACTGTCCGAATGGTGTAAGTTAATTCTACTGTTGATTCGTGTCTTGTGCTACAGTGATAATAAACTTGTGAAATGTGTCAGCTGGTGTCAGCCGTCGTTTGAAGTCGTGTGACCGTGGAGAGAAATGCCGTCTGGTTAGATTGAGCTGTGACCTAACCTCTAGACAACAGAGTCAGTGTTGAATCTGCACTAGAGAGATCAAGTGTGGAGGAGACACAAGTGCATTCATTACAGACCTGCTAAATGATGATGATGATTGCTTTTCCTTTATAGGATATTGCCAAACCAACTCCTAAGCCACAGACACTGTTCCAATTAAATTAGTTATGTATCCTTTAGCATATCCTTTACAGGATGTTGCCGAACTAACCCAAGCATTTTTTGGCTGTTGTGGTTTTTCTAGGCTAATTGTACGTTCAGTAGTTTGCCCTTGCTTTCTAAATGTTCAGCTCTCGGTACCACTGTCAAAACAAAGCAAGAGAAACCATCAGCAACTGGGATCGAACCCAGCACCCCGGCATTACGAAGCATGTTTGCAGCGCCTATGTCACAGACACCGGCAATCTAATTAAGCAAACCCTTAATCAGTCGCTGTTTATGACACACTCAAGAGCAGTCGTTCTGTTCTTATTTCCCACACAAAAATGGCCCTGGAACACGCCGAGAGATACCTTGAGTTTTATTTTGATAATAGTAAAAATACCAAAAATTGCTATCTCAATACATTTTATACATGGATACAGATGTATCCTGAGTGAAGTGACAGTAAAGTTTTGTTTTTAATTAGGGTTGTTTTTAATAATAAAATTGTCCATTTATTTACTTACTGAGCATTTGTTTTTGTATATGAAGGTGAACGAATTTCTTAGAATCAAGCATCGGTACCTGGAACTTCGACTGCCGAATTTGCAGACAGTGTTGAGGCTGAGGTCAAAGTTTGTGATGGCTGTCCGCAACTTTCTGGCAAACAATAATGGTTAGGATTAAATATAACTTTTTTTTTGTTATTCAATATTTTGGTTGCAGATAATATCTTTTAAAACTTTTGCTGTTTTCCATTTTAAGTCAAAGGAGATGATAATGAACAACCAGTTTTCAAATTTTGTCTGAAGATAATGTTCTTTTACTTACAGCTGTTGATATGTCAAAAGAGAAGATAAGTTCTTTTAGATGATGTTTTCAATTTTTTTGATAATGTTCTTTTACTACTTTTGCTGTTTTCAATATTTTGTCAAAAGAGAAGATAATGTTCTTTTACTACTTTTGCTGTTTTCAATATTTTGTCAAAAGAGAAGATAATGTTCGTTTACTACTTTTGCTGTTTTCAATATTTTGTCAAAAGAGAAGAAAATGTTCTTTTACTACTTTTGCTGTTTTCAGAATTTTTCCACAGAAGAACAAATTCTTTTACCCCTTTTTTCTGTTTTAAGTATTTTTCTGAAAAAGAAGATATTCTTTTGCTGCTTTTGCTGTTTCCAATATTTTTCCAAAGAAAACTATCATCTTTTGCTGCTTTTGCTGTTTTCAGTATTTTTCCAAAGAAAAAATTTTTGCTTTTTCATGCCAGGCTTTCACCATCATAAAAGCTATTCCTTCACAGAACATTGCTAAAAAAGACTTTGTCCTTTGCCAGTTTTTTTTTTTTTTTGCATTTTTATGCCAGGCTTCTGGGGGTTTTTTGGGGGGAAGTGGGGGGGATTTTTTTTTTCTCACTTCTCCTACAGAAAATTTGCTTTCAATTAGTTTTTTTTTTTTTCAAACTACTGGGGCATTTAACCAAATTATTTTATTTTCCAAAATTTGATGCTGATAATGAGCCATTTTTTTTTCTTCGTTTTTTCGTCCTACCAATATTCAAGTGAGAATAAAAATAGTCATGACAGAAATAAAATGTTTACATATTATGCTAAGTGTAACACAAAAAAGATCGATTAAGAACGATGATATCAGGAGAAAAGTCTGCACAGAACCAATACTGAAACGTTAGCGGTGGCCAGCGGATCAAAGGGTTTGGCCATGTAACAAGATTGGCATGAGACAGGGCACCACGGAGACCAATGTTAACCGATACAGCTGTAACAAAGCCAGAGGTCAAGCATGTAGAAGACAGACTGAAAATATCTGAAACACAGAAGATTACTATATACAAGGTATACAGAAGGACTTTTTTTCAGAGATCTCTTCCTGCCCTGCTTCTGCTAGGCATTCCAGGCGTAGAAAAAAGAAGAATATTCAAATCTTGTGAAATGTCACTATATTCTTTTTCGTCATTCGTGGTGATAATTTATTTGTAACATTTAAAGGTAAATGTTACATTCTTTTCTTAAAACATGTACCAGACAAACGACATGTCAGACATATAAGATGTCAGATGTATAAGATGTCAGATGTATAAGATGTCAGATGTATAACATCATAAGGCCCCATTTAGGGATAGGGTTGGGATAAATCCACTACTGCTTAACAAAAAGGACCCTTTTCTCCACGCCTTCAGGCATACAGAGCTAGGCCTGTATTTTGTAGACCAGTCAGCACTCGATGGGTAATGAGGTCAGCATCAAGCTTGCCGCCTTTACTTCCCAGAACTGTACCTGGTATCCATTTAAAGCTGGGTCGACCTAAGAACCAAGGTCATTTTTGAAAAAGTCCAGCTTTGTTGGGAGCTGAACCCACAGCCTTCTCATCTTCAGGCGAACATCTAGTCACTACACCTCAGCAGCTCCTGCTCTTTAACAAGCATGTTATAAACATGTCTAATTAATGGTTTGCTGAAACTGAATGTATTGAGCCAAAATATGCCTAGCTTTAAGCCACAACATAATTTGTCAACCACTCTTTTAAAGGTTGAAAACAAAATAAGCACTTAGGGCAGTTTTCCTATATGTTTGAGAGGTATAGTAGGGAGAGAAAAAAAAAATTACAACGGGTAAAAACATATTCTAAATGTTTTTTCAGGTTTTGTGGAAGTTGAGACACCGACCCTCTTCAGACGAACACCAGGGGTGAGAATTTACAATTTAACAGTCACTTATCGTGAATAGAAGCTGCTGTACTACTGGAGCTGGAAGCTCGCCTGCCATTTTGTAGTAATGTTTATAGTACATGTAAGAAGATGGGCAGTGATTATAGTACCGACCATAGTATATGTAGAAACAAAAGGCAATTAATGTGGTACTGACCATAGTATATTGATAAGCCGGGTCTGTCTGGATACAAATAAGCCCGATCTAGTTTCAAATAAGCCAGATCTGGATATAAATAAGCCAGATCTAAATACTAATAAAGCCAGATCTGGATACAAATAAGCCAGATCTGGATACAAATAAGCCAGGTCTGTGGATAGAAATGCCAGATCTGGATACACATATGCCAGATCTTGATACATTAGCCAGATCTTGTTACAAAAAAATGGTAATTAGCCAGATCTGGATACAAATAAGCCAGATCTGAATACAAATCAGTCAAATCTGGATAGAAATACTCTAGATCTGGATACACATAAACCAGATCTGGATACAGATAAGCCAGATCATGATACAAATATGAAAGATCTGGATTAAATAAGCCAGATGGGATTTAAATAAGCCAGGTCTGGATACAAATCAGTCAAATCTGGATAGAAATACGCTAGATCTGGATACACATAAACCAATCTGGATACACATAAACCATAGTTGTGAAGGAAGATTCTGGATTTTTTGGTGTAACTACAAGTAGCCTGACTATGGAGGTCATGGCTGTGACTAAAGTAGTAACATGGCTAGAGACACAGACTTTGACTGGGGCATGCTTTCTCAGTGACTTGAAGAGTATGCTCAGGAAGATAGAGAACGGCTGGGTCCGAAGGCACTGCTTTATGAACGGTCAGCTCCCGATACCACCGTTGAAAGCAATGGAAGGCAGTCTGCTGTCAAATCCCATGCAGCTGGGATCGTATCAAGCACCCCTGGCGTTACGGAGCATGTTCACAATGCCTAAGCCACAGACGCTACCTCACAAAATAGCAGAACACAAAAATATAAGTTTGTATGCAGAAAGAAAAAATCTAAATAAAATCTAAATATAAACATCCACAAAATGTAATAACCAGAAACTGATGTTGCCAAATTTGTGATCCTGCTGGAGAAATATGTGTTACGGGCAAACTCATACATTAGAGGACAGTGTCTGTTGGCAGACTTCAGTAATAAAATATAAACCAAGATTGTTTGTTTTCTCTGATTGGCAAGTTTATAGGACCTATATTTTTTTAGGCCAGTCAGAACTCTGTGGCTAATGTGATCAAGATTACAACAGCCACATTTACTTCCCAGGACTTCACCTAGTACCTTATTAAGGATGGGTCGACCTGGGAGCCAAGGTCATTTTTTTAAAAAAAAAGTCCAGCTCCATTTGGTTTTGAACCTACAACCTTAGATCCACCTATGAGCACCAAGCCGCCACATCATAACGGCTTCTATTAGAGAGCCCCCTTGCATAATAATCTGGCTTTAAAAGTCATTAATGAGACTTGTTTATTTTGATTGCAGGGTGCAAGAGAGTTCATAGTTCCTACACACATTCCAGGAAAGTTCTACAGCCTTCCTCAGTCACCTCAGCAGGTGAGATGTTGGGGGAGGGGGGGCGGAGACAGGAACAGGTTAATTTAATGACACAGCTCAACTCGGTGCAGCTATCTCAGCCCAACTCAGCTTATCTCATCTCACTTTGTTACATTCTTCTTCTTCTTTGCGTTCACCAGCTGTACACTCTGACGGAAAGTTCTGGTTGCTCATCCATTACTGAACTGCAGTCGTGCTCCAGAACCTGAGTGTTGCGTGTGCATCAGTTTTACAGATCTCATTCTCTTGAATAAAGACTGTTGGTTCCTTGCCTCTCCGGCAGATGCACTCCGACTTCAAAGGAAGCTCCCCAATTAGTCGACTCCTACGACCTGCTTTTGGTGAGGCAGTGGGTCTGTTCTTGTTTTCCCCACAATGGCGCCCTGGAACCCACACGGGGGACTTTGTTACATTGAGTTACAGAACTTGGATTTTTTCCTTGTGGTTTCTGGGCTGCATTGTTGGAGGGGGGAGAGGGGCACTGACCCCTTAGCAAACATGTTGTAAAAGTGGACTAATTAGGGGTGTTTCGAAGTCGTGCGAAGAACCACGAGTCTGCATACAAATAAGCCAGATCTGTCAAAGGGATGTGCACACAGAACTCGGGTTCTGAAACAAGATCAGCCCAGAAGTGGGCGAACAACCAGAACTTTCTGCCAGAGTTTACAGCCGGTGAAATTTAAGAAAAAGAAGATCTAGGTGATGAAACAGTCGCTTCTTAACTGCCTCTGACAGCATTCCTGGTTTTGTGTCTAGAGTTAAAGAGCTGACAGGTTGGCTGTATCCGCTATCACTACCGACGGTCAGCCTATGGATAATGCTGATATTATCAATGCCCTCAGAGAAATGGAAAGGATAGAGGACTTTGGTGGCAGTGAATCCACATCACTCGCCAGAATGGCAGACTTAGGAATTAAGATCGGCACAGCAAAAAACGAGACGCACACCAGACGCGCCAGAAGACTTGTTAATCAACATAGAACTGGTACTATTAGCCATCGGACGTTCAACAGTTTAAACAGTTATTATTGTATGTTGTTCTGTTTATAATTTATTCAACAGTCTAAACAGTTATTATTGTATGTTGTTCTGTTTATAATTTATTCAACAGTTTAAACAGTTATTATTGTATGTTGTTCTGTTTATAATTTATTCAACAGTTTAAACAGTTATTATTGTATGTTGTTCTGTTTATAATTTATTCAACAGTTTAAACAGTTATTATTGTATGTTGTTCTGTTTTATAATTTATTCAACAGTTTAAAACAGTTATTATTGTATGTTGTTCTGTTTATAATTTATTCAACAGTTTAAACAGTTATTATTGTATGTTGTTCTGTTTATAATGTATTCAACAGTTTAAACAGTTATTATTGTATGTTGTTCTGTTTATAATTTATTCAACAGTTTAAACAGTTATTATTGTATGTTGTTCTGTTTATAATTTATTCAACAGTTTAAACAGTTATTAATGGTTGGAGGGTTGGATCGGTACTTTCAAATAGCCAAGTGTTACCGTGATGAAGGTACTAAACCAGATAGACAGCCTGAGTTTACACAGGTAAAACAATTTGAGATTAGATCGATGGCAGAAAATGTACTTCTTATATATCTACTTCTGCTGTTTATCTCCCAATGAATTAATGAATGAATGAATCTATAATTGGCATCACTGCACTCGCATGAAGAGTTGATGGTGGTAATAGTACAAGTAACAATGTGACTAAAAGTCTGCCTATGTTTCTCACTTCAGTATTAAATATCATTTGGAACCTTTGTCTCCCCCTTACCCCATTTGAATTTGTCTTTCAATATATGGATTCTATCTACATTTTGTTGCACTGTTCATTTGATCCCAAAGAGCCCTGCCATGTCTGCTAGAGTTGCAGCAGCAACCAATCTGTCAGCCTGCTCATTACTCTGCACACCCGAATCTCCTGCACAGAAAATGCATGATATGCTTCCGGTCTTGGTCTTATCAAGTGATGCAATCCACTCTAATCGTAGGAAGCCCATTTTTTTGGTACCCCAATTATCCCCTAACGAATCTCATGCCCTCAGCCAACTCTTCCAGTCACCCTTTCCTTTAACAGCAAGTGCAGATCACTCATCTTCCTCTCCATCTTTTTTCACTTTCATCCATTATCTTCTTTGTCCCCATGTGGGCTTCTTGACCCCATTTTGAAGGGAACAAAAGCAGACTTGCTGTCCCTCAACAAGCCTCTTGTATAAAGCAGCTAATTAAATTATTCCTGAAATTGAATGTTTTGGGCTGAAAGGCAAAGATGTCTTATAACTGGAAACCACAATGTTTCAACCACCCTTTTAAGTTTGAGCTTAGCAGATTTCTCTTTATGTTTTTTGGTTCTTCAAGGAGAAGATATCATAAGTCATCTGTCGTATTTTATATCTTAAAGATATAATTTGTATGTTTTAAATCGGGGTAGTCAGTATGTCGACTGGCAAGCCGTGAAACTTATGGCAGTCTGTGTTATATTGTCTGTATCAAAAAATTTGATTGTTGTTTGACTTCTTCTGTAGGGCCGATCCTCTTCTTCTCACTGTTCACTGGTTGTAAACTCTGTCAGAAAGTTCTTGTTTTTCATCCACTTATGGACTGGAGTTTTGTGTACACATCCGTTTTTACAGATCTGGCTTATGTGTATACAGACTGTTGGTTCCTTGCCTCTCAGGCAGATGCATTGCAACTGTAAAGGAAACATGGCTAATTAGTCACCTTTTAGAACATGCTTGTTGGGAAGAGGGGGGGAATTTGGTCTGTCTTCTTATTTTCCCCCAAAATGGGGCCCAGGAACCTACAAGGGAAATACAGAGCCAATGGTCTATAAATTAGACTGCTAGTGATTTCTGAAGAAAAAACAAAGTGGACTGGCAGCGATTTCTCAAATATAAAGTAGACCGCCGGTGATTTGTGAAAAGACAAGTAGATCCCCACTGATTTTCAAATTAAAAAGAAGCATCAGAAGTTGGTCATGACTGTTTTATATCTACAAGATTGCTTTGAAGCTTTTATTTGTCACATGTGTTATATCTTGGAGATTTTTCAGGACACAACATTTATCGCGTTCTTTGTTTCTAGAAGATTTATCACGAGACAATGTTCGTCACATATTTTGTATCTAGGAGATTTATCAGGAGACAATGTTCATTACATGTTTTATGTTTAGGAGATTGATCAGGACACAACATTTATCGCATTCTTTGTGTCTAGAAGATTTATCAGGAGACAGTGTTCGTCACATGTTTTATATCTAGGAGATTGATCAGGAGACAGTGTTTGTCACATGTTTTATATCCAGAAGATTTATCAGGAGACAGTGTTCGTCACATGTTTTATATCTAGGAGATTGATCAGGAGACCTGTACTTATCTCTTTATGAAGAGAAATCTGACCTCAAGAGCAAAATGTGCAGAACAAGCTGTGGGGAACTATGAAGGACCTACAGCTGACTGCAAATTTATAGAGGCATCTTACCTGATGATACAAAACAGAACCCTAAGAAAGAAGATTAGGAGACAATGTCTGTCACATGTTTTATATCTAAAAGATTGATCAAGAGATGATCTGACAACATATTTATGACATTTTTACATCTGCAGATTGAAAAGATTTGATCCTATCTGAGATTGATCTGATCACATATTTCATATTCCTATCTGCAGATTGATCTGGAGATGTCATTTGTCACTCAAGACTCTGTAATGTCATTAGTGGAAGAGATGCTGATGGTCACATGGCCGGAGGAATGTGGCAGTATATCAGTTCCATTTCCTCGGATGAGCTATCACAGTGCCATGGCATGTTATGGATGTGACAAGCCGGACTTGAGGTTTGATTGGCAGGTAAATTACCATGATTTAATTAACTCTTTGTATCTCTGTTGGTTTCTGGGGCCCCATTTGGGAAGGCTCGCTCATGGGCCACTCAAACATCCAAGACCTACAACAGATTGCAACGAACCGCCATGCATGGAGAGTCATGACTTCTGCCCTATGTGCCGCACTCGACACAAGAGGAAAGACTAACTAATTTGGGGAGGGGGGAATAATAGACCCCCCCCCCCCCCCACCCACAGGCATGCGTAAAAGGCAACTAATAAAGAATTTGTTTAATTATGATGTACAATTTATTGCCTGGCACATTTCGCTGTATCTCTTCAGGTGCATACTACAGTAACAATTACATAAATGTAGCAAATAAGTGAATCCTTTTATAACTGAAGTACAATTTCAACAATGATCAAACATGACTGCCTGTTTTTACCAGGGCAGCCGTAAAGACAGAACCATCTCTTTCTGAATACAGAGTTCCGGGCGCAGATGACGAATCGCGGAAGCTTCGAGAAATCTTAGCGTTCTGCCATTGGTTCATTGGGATCCCATTGGGATCGAACCAGGTACCTCAGAATTACAAGCCACATTCTACAGACTCACATTTCGATGAAACAAGTTATTGCAGCACATCAGACTGGGACAGAACTGCAAAATTAGGTCAGTAAAAGTTCCGGCATCTCTTCAAGCCAGGTATCATTGGGCATGTGCTGCTAGATTGGTTTTATAGACCAGTTGCCACCTTGATGCTTGATGTAGTCCCCTTTACTTCCCAGGACTTTACCTGGTACTTACCTGGTTTGACACTGTCGACCTGGAAGCCATTTTTTTTCCCGACAAAAGTTCGAGTTAATTTAATAATGAAGCATTTCAGTTACGTTGCTAAATTTCTGTTTCTTTTTTTTTTTTCAGATTGTTCATTTAGACTCTTCATATGTGACACCGTGTCTCCATGTCTTTCAACAATATCTAACAGCCAAAGAAGCAACAGTTCAGGTTCTGAGAATACCACAAGCTTGTGTGAGTATTCCTAACAATACGTATAAGTCAAATTAAGGTCATTTCCTTGTGTAGGTACAGGGTCCATTTTTTTTAAAAAAATCATCCATGTCATAAAAGGCTTTTTTTTTCTCTGAAGTCAGAGCGTGTATGCCTGAGAGGTGAGGAACCAACATTCTGCAGATCTGTAAAATGGATGTGCTTGCAAAACTAAGGTTCTGGGACAAGACTAAAGTCCAAAAGTGGGTGAACAACTAGAACTTGACCACCACAGTATTCAGCTGTCGAATACTTAGAAGAATAAGACTTATGGTCAATCAGATCAGCTTCATTGCACCAGGTTTTATCCCATATGGCTCAGTCTCTCTCTGCGCAAGGGCTGTCAGGCATAGAGTATATCACACAAAGCATGAACTCCATATTTCCAGCAATGATCCCAGGGGATATCCGTTAAAATATTGCTTTCGTAAACCAAATGATGCAGTGGGGAAACAAACCTTTAGAGACCTTTAGAGCATGAGGTAACTTGACCTCTTCGGCTTAGAGATGTCCTGCTTACAGGTTAATCTCTGACACACGTGATCACTGGAGGAAAGGCAAGACAGACATATAATCAGACTGATAGTGGCGCCTTCAGAACTGGAACTCTTCACTGGTTTCTGAAGATGAGGACGGAGCGCATGTCCTGAATACTGTAATGTCACTTCTGAAGTCAGCCAACAGTTTTACCGTTCTTCTTCTTCTTCTTAAAGACCATGCCATGTGGCATTGGTAGTCCTGTCTGTCCACAACCTTCTGTCTCGTGTACATTCAGTTACCTCTGATACAGATGATCCTCCATGCCATGATGTCAAACTGTCCAGCATCTTCTATCTCTGTCTCCCTCTTCCCTCCAATTTTCCTACCGTCGTGATGTAATCCAGTTTTCTCCTTCTCATCACATGACCAAAGAATGTAGATTGTCTCTTTCTGATGTGAACAATCAGTTTTCTTCATGAATCAGTTTCTGTCAAAACATCTTTATCACTCTTTTTATCTGTCCAGGGTATTCTTATCATTTGTCTGTAAAACCACATATCCGCAGCTTCCAAATAATATATCACTAATCTACCAGCTGTCCATGATTCACTTCCATATAGCAAGACAAGATTTATAATTCTCTTTCTTGTCTCAACTGACATAGAAAGTTTGCATAAAATATTCTTCATTTGGTAAAATGCTGCCTTTGCTTGAGCTATTCTACATTTAACTTCTTTAATACATATCTTGGGTAAAGAAAAGAACAAATGCATCCATACTTCAAGAGCTGAATATTGAAGAGGGTTGGCTAGTAAAGACAATAAAACAAAGAAAATTGAAATATTTTGGTCACTTGAAACGTCATGGAAGTCTAGAGAGAACAATAATGGAGGGGTATATGCCTGGGAAGAGAGGAAGAGGTAGGCCAAGGAGAAGATGGGTGCAGGATGTGGCAGATGATCTCCAGATGGGTGTATCAGACGCAGGACATCTTGCTCATGATAGGAAGGTTTTCCGGAGGGTTTTAAGCGAGGTTTCTACTGAATGAATGAATACATCTTCCATCTGATGTTATCAGGGTACCCACGTACTTAAACATATCAACTTGCTTGAGATTTGTCCCATTTACTTTGATGCTACACTTGGAGGGGGGGGGGGGGGGGGGGGGGGGTCAATTTTTCTTTGTAATTTTTTTTGTTTCATCTGTTATATTTCAGAAACACCTTTCCAACAAAGATATTGAATCCCTTACACAAGAAGTACTAAAGGAGTCCTCTGGAAATGTGGTAAGCTTTTCCAAACATTATATTTTTTTCAATATTTCCAGAAATTATATAGTAGTGATGTAAAAGAATTAGGACACACATTGGCAAGGCATGAGGATTTTTTAGTTCTTCTTATTCTTTTGCCTTTTATCCTCCCCATGAAACAGGCGCTCAACCAACTTACGGCAGGTTCGTTCTATTCATGTAGCTCACCTCATGTCATCCCCATTTTTTTTAAACTCCACTCTGTAGCTCCTTTCTCCATGTATTTTTTTTTTCTGCCTTTATTTCTTTGCCCCTGTAGGTTCCAGTGTAAAGCCATTCTCCTTATCTTTTAACAGCCAGAAGAAAATAAGGAACTTTAAACTGTACAGTTTTAAAACCAATTTATCTATTTTCAGTTCTTATGTTATTTCTATATTATTGGATATAATTTAATATATGTCTTGTCTTGTCTTGTCTTGTCCACAATTGCCTCACAGCGTAGTGGGGAGTCGCAGTTTTATATCCTGGGCCAGGTGTGTTGCACGTGTTGTTGTTAGTCCGTGTTGCCTCAGGATCTCTAATATATTGTCTATCCATCGTACTCTCGGTCTGCCTCTTGCTCTAGGGCAGTAGTGCTGTTCGTTGTATGCTCGTAGAGGCAGTTGGTCGGTTTGCATTCGCATCAAGTGGCCAAACCACTCTATTTGTTGCTTCTTTATGTATTGCAGGCATGGTGTGGTTCCTACAATTGATCTAATGTTCTCGTTTCGAACTCTGTCTCTCCTTGTGACATTGGCAGCCTTACGTAAGCATCTCATTTCGCACGTCGTGATCTTTTTCTCCTGTGCTCTTGTTAGGGACCAGGTTTGGCATTGGTAGCAGAGGGTTGGTATAAACATGCAATTTATCAGTTGTCGTTTTAGTGCCATAGTGATGCTTGGGTGTTTTAGCAGTGGGGAGAGTTGGTAAGTTACTGCGTTCGCCTTTTGACATCTTGCCTCAAGTTCCCTATCAATTCTTCCATCATCTGTGAAGATGCTCCCCAAGTATTTAAATTGCTTCATCTCTTAGAAACAATACCCCAGATATATATCAGATGTATAATTTAATATATATCTGGGGTATTGTTTCTAAGAGATGGAGCGCTGCAATAGCATCCATTTTATTTTTGTTTGGTTTTTGCTAAAACCGCTATATGGTTGGGCAGGCCACAGGGGAATTTCTCTAGATCCACGGATCACTGGTTTAAGAACATGAATATAGTCAATTGACTCTTCATTATAAATGTCTCCAGTACTGCAGGGTCACACCAGATGTCAAGAGAACTCCTGCAGAAAGTTCTGGTTGTTCACTCACTTCTGGACTTTGGTCTTGTTCCAGAACTTGAGTTTTGCAGTCATGTCTGTTTTACAGATAGGGCTTACCTTTATGCAGACTGTATGTTCCTCACCTGTTAGGCAGCAGTTCTCCAATTTTGAATGAAAACCCGCAGTTTGTTGACTTTTATGGCGCCCCTTTTAGGGAGCGGTGGGCCTGTTCTTTTCCTTCCAAAATGGGGCCCGGAACTCATACGGGGAGTTTATCCTTATGTGCTATATGATTATGTAAAGTTTAATCACTGATTGTACAGAACCCCATTGCATATGACAGTAACTGCTGCTGTATGTACAGCTAAATCATTGATTTTGCAAAACCCCATATCTCTTATGACAGTATCTCATATATGATTACAGTATATCCCATATGATTATGTACGTTGATAAGAGAGGCCATAGCTGCTGGACTGGCTTGAGAGTCAGCTGTACACACATGCTGTGATTGTAACTGACTTGCAGAGAAAGGTGGAGAGGGGCATCCTCTGTGCAGAGTGACAAGCATCACTTCAGAGGTCCAGGGTAGTTAGCATCCTTTGGTGGATATTTTCTCCAGGTCATGCTGGTGTGTTGGAAAATTAGCAGGCAGATAAACTGGGCGGTTCTGCACCGCTTGGTGGGGAATTGATGTATGACAAGCTGGATGTTGTGAGGGCCCTTTTGAAGGAGTGAACAGTGTGGAGGCACTGATAGATCATTACGGTCTGAGGAGAATGACGCTGTGAGGAGTTACCAGGGGATCTGGCCGACGCTCAACACTCAGGGGAAAGGAGAGAGGGATATACAATCAAACAGTTACTGGTGCCATGGGAACTGGAACTCTTTGCTTGCTGCTGAAGATGGGGATGGAGTGCTTATGAGTGTGTCCTGAGTGCTATGATGTTAATTCTGAATTCAGCATTTAACATTTGACTGGATTCCATCAATGATGTTAAACAGAATCCACAGGATAGAACGGAATGAAGGAATAGATTATGAACCCTGGATGACAGATAATGGCACAACAGGGTAATGAATGAATATGTGATTATGTACAGTTTAATCATTGATTGTAAGTACCAAACATGCTTATGTCAGTAACTAGTGCTATGCATACAGTATAGTCATCAGTAGTTCAGTAACTTACTTCTATACGACAGTATCTCCTATATGTTTACACTATATTGCATATGATTATGTACATTTTAATCATTGGGAGCCAAGGTAGTGTAGTCACAAGATGCTCACCTGCCGGCCCAAAAGTTTAGAGTTCATGCCACTTTAAGGTGAATTTTTTATCTTCAAAATTACCCTTGGCTCCTAGATTTACCTAGCCTAAAATGGGTACCAAGTAATTTCCTGGAAAGTAAAGGCGGCTAGCATCATGTTAACTACATCACTCACATAGTGATGATCTGTGTTTATAGCGTCATTGCGCCTGTAGTACCACTGGTGTGTACAGGGTCTTTTACTTTACTTTTTACAGTTTAATCATTGGTTGCGTAGCTGCTATCACTGACTATACAATCTAAATTAGCTTTAGTTAGTTAGTCTTTCCTCTTGAGCCTAGGGCGGCGCATAGGGCAGAGGTCATAAGTTCTCCATGACTGGCAGTTCGTTGCCACCTGTTATAGATCTTGGATGTTTGTAAGGCCTGTGGTTGAGCCTTCCCTGATGATGGTTTTATGCAGGGGCTCTCTTGGTCTTCCCCATTTTCTTTTCCCTTCTAGCTATATGGTTAAGTAATTACAACCAGTCTGTTGCTAGAATCGGTTGTGAAGCCGCTCGCTGGCTTGGATGTCTGTGCGTTTGTAGAATTCTTTCATACTGCCGCTGTGCTCGATCCCGCTTGAGGTAACGTCTTTTGCTGGTGTCGTCTTCTGGAAGAAAGCTGTAACTTTGGGAACGTTGGTGGCCATATCGGGCATGATGATTTTCCTCCGGGTGTTCTCCGTTGTAGTATCTTGATGCTTCCTCGTCTACAAAGTTAGCCTCAGAGGGGAGATGGTCACGACTATGTTCAGGTATTCGTTCGCGAACTCTGACTTCTCTGTTAAAGTGAGATCTCTCTCTGTCTAGAGCAGGCATTGTGTTGTAGCCGTCAATCTGGTAATATGGAAGTCTTGATTCCTGGACTGTTTCTGCTTGTGGTACATGTTGCCAGTTTGTACTGTCCTGTACGTCGTGATAAGTGTAAGCTGGGCAGATCATGTACGGACCATTTCTTCGGATGTTTTCAGAAGGCACATACCTGTATAGCGTGAATCTCTCTCAAATGCGTAATTAAAAAGCCTGTTTTGATTTCCCCTTTGGGGGTCTCTTTGTCGTTGTTGGAGCTCACGTACCAGTGCCACATGTCTGTCTTGATAGGGACCAAATCTGTCATCTCTCTGTTGTCTTCTTTCACTTATTTTCATATCTATGTACTTATCTTTTGGTCCCCCTCCTTCCTTTTCATGTATCTTCTCCAGCTTTTCATTATTCAACTCATCTTTTTTGAGTTTGTCATACTGCTTTGTTCTGCTTCTTCCAGTTTCTTTGTTCATATTTTTGTTATCTATGCGTTTTCTTTTTGTATCTGTACTTTCTTCTTTACTCCTTTCCACATGTGTTCCTCTGGATCGAGTGATAAAATTGTTTTGTTTGTACATTTCTTCATGTATTCTTTTGTATTGTCTGTGTTTTCTGTCTATCGCCTCCTGAATTGCCTGAGCTATCTCCTGATTAGACAGTCTAACCATATCTGCCAATTTCTCCACTTTCTGCTTCTCCTTTTCCTTCTTCCTGTTTTTTCGTCTGCTGCACTTTTTGTCGCCACTTTTTATAAAACCGGTACGTCACGGAACCAGCAACTCCAGCTACGATGAAGAGACTACCGACAGAGCATATGATGATTAGATAAAGCATGGAGCTACTGCACTCAAAGTCATCTTCACTCCAGTGGAGTACATGCACACCGACTCTACCTGCCGGAGATCGGCAGTGGTAGGCAGAAGAATTCACCACATACAAGCCAGATACTGCTATCTTTGTCCTTTGAAGCCAATCTCTGAATGCCAGCAAATCGCAAGAGCAGTCGAAGGGATTGTTGGAAAGATCAACCTCCTTGAGATCACTGGCATCTCTGAAAATAGTTGGGATTATTCGTCCGCAGGAGATTTGTCTGTAGGTATAGAGTCTTGACTTTTGGGAGTGGGAGGAGTATGGACGTAACCAGATGTGAAATATTGTTGTGTCCTAAATCTAGGATCTCCAGCTGGTCAAAGTGATTAATCCACTGCAGGTTGTCGAGGTAGTTGTGGGACAGGTTGAGATGTTTCAGATTTATAACATCTTTAAAGAGGTTTTCGGGAAGTGTGTAGAGCTTGTTCTGAGCCAGGTCCAGTTTCTCGAGACTAGTCATTCCATGGAAAGCGCCATTGTCTATCTGGGTTATTTCATTGTGGTTAAGGTACAACTCCTGTGTGGCTACCCAGTTGTTGTAGTGCACATCCTTTAGGAAGTTGTGAGACAAATCAATGGTAAGTGGTGACAGAGGAAGGAATGCCCGATGGTCTATGGTTTCAATGCTGTTTTTGCTAAAGTTGGCCAGCTTCAGTAGCTTGATGCCTCGGAACAAGAAACCGGCAACAGATCGCAAGTCATTATCACTCAGGTCCACTAATTCTAGAGCACCAGAATCATCAAGACCAGAGAATTCTGTGATCCGATTAGAGTGGTAGTCAAGGAAACTCAAGCTGGATGTATTGCTCGGCACAATCACAGCTCCTAAGAAGTTGTTGTTCATGTTAAGGTGTATAAGATTTGTCAGTGGTGATAGATTTACTCGGTTGGAGTGAGTCAGCTTGTTGTAAGACAGGTCTAGTGTCTGCAGATTGGACAGATGACTCACAGCATCGCCTTGGAAGGATTCCATCTTGTTATGGGAGATATTTAAAACTTTGAGATTGCTCAGGTCAGAAAATCCAGCAGCGAGTCTTGTGACAGAGTTCCTGCTCAAGTCCAGGGAACGGAGACTTCTTATTGTTGCGAATACATCTAAGGGCACATCACTGATGTTGTTGAAGGATACGTTAAGAAACTTCAAGGAGATTTCCGACACATGTGTGAATAAAGGAACCAAAGTTGACAGGTTCAGATAACCCAGAGATAGTCTGTCCAGATTTCTGGCACCACTCTCAAGCTCCTTTATGAGATCCGTCAGCATCTCCATGGTGATCCCACTGTTGCCTGTTAGGTCAAGATCGTGAATATTGGGGATTTTGGAGATTGCTCCACTCTCGATGGAGGAAATGCGACAGAAGGCAAGATTGATTGTTCTCCCTGTACTGGCTTCCCATTGTGATGCAATCTCGAAAGAGTCGGATCTGACCGCTTCAATGGGGTTGTGGGACAAATCTATGGTCTCAATATGTCTGGGAACCTGGAAAATTGGTGAAAGGAAGTTAGACAATGAGAAACATATCAGAGGCAACATGGCATCTTACATATATGTATTTCTTCTTCTGCATTTTCCTGTATGAGAAAAATTGGCACATTGTATTGTGGTTTACAGCTAGGCTGCACTATTTCCGTCTTTTGGCCCATCATGTTGATTACAGCAAAACCCTAATGAGACGTTTACAACATGCTTAAGGGACATTTGGGTCTATTCTTTTTTCTCCACCAAAGTGGACCCTGAAACCCCACCCCCCTCCCCCACCCAAAAAAAAAACCCACGGTAGTTTAGGCATTTAAGATATATATTTATCACCACACTTGATGGGCCTAGGTTGTGGTGATTGTCTGAGATGAAATAACTATCATTTGGGCACACAGGGTAGTTTGACATTTCCTACCTCATTTATGGCCACGGTAAGTAAGTGTCCCCCTATGGGAAGAACACCCATATTTTTTTCAGACCAATCGGCACTAGGTGGGTAATGTGGTCAGTATTACACCCGTCGTCTTTACTTCTCCAAAACATAGTATGGCCACGGTAGATTAATAAATCCTAAGGCGCATAGAGATAGTTTATTATGAGCATCATTCTTTTGAACATTTTAATTGAGCATCTTCTCCCTTCCCCCCCCCCACACCCCCCTCCCCACTTTATCCCCCAACGTTTTTATTTAGGGTGGGGAGGAACTATTTTGTGTGTGAGGAGGTTTGCCCCACTCCCCACCCCAATATTTTCTTTGTGTCGGCTTCACTGCTGTGTAACCTTGTTGGTGTTGGTTATGCATCTGAGTACACTTGTTTCTGCAGTGAGGGGCTGTCGTCATTTCATTTGGAGTTGACAGGTTTTACTCCTAGCATAGTAGCTATAGCTTTTGATTGTTATGTTGTCTAGTGTGTCCTATTTTTAACCTCTACTACGTTATAAAGATATGTGCAAGCGGGACATGAATGATACAGGTATTGAGGCAGACTCGTGGGAACAAAATGCCATGGACCGTGTTGTGTGGAAAGGGCATATCAGGAAGGGAATGAGACTGAAGGAAGAAATGACTGCAGAAAGGATGAGAGCTGAGCGTCTGGAAAGAAACAGATTAAACACAAATGTTGTTAACAACAAAAGTCCTGAAATCCCAAGCTATAATTGTAGAAGACTTTTCTTGACACGGGCAGTTCTTGCTAGTCACAGTCGCCATCGCCATGGGCTGTGAGTCTCATGCCTCCTCATAGCGCAATATAACACTATCGTCTGGAAAGACGGAAAGTTGGTGTGTCCTTTTATCTTTCAGCTTCTTTCTATGAGTGACGATCAATACGTGTCTGTGTTTTTTTTAAATAATATTTCTACGGCCTTTATTTCTCTGTATCACCCACTGTAGATTCTCTAAGCCTATCGTATTGTATGTACGTTCTGTGTAACTTGGCAAGTTCCATCTCATTGGCGAGCAAATAACAGCAACAGAACTTAAGCCTAAACACTGTGTGGCGGGCGACTGCTGGGTAAATGGTCTTTATTGCCTCTGCCTACACGAACGCCCTCGCAGCAGACGCCAGCAAATGTACAAAATGTCGTACTTCTTTTTCTTCTTCTTTTTAACGTTCTCTGAGTGTAAACGCTGGCGGAAAGTCCTGGTTGTTCGTTCGTTTCTAGACTTTGATCTTGTTCCAGAATTTGAGTTTTGTGTGCACATCCGTTTTACAGAGCTGGCGTATTTGTCAGTAGACTCTTGTTACTTGCCTCTTAGGTAGATGCACTCAAAATGTCTCTTGTTTTCTTTTCCTTTCTCCCTCTGCTTCTCAAAAACGATGTAAAGCTCTTTCGTTCTACCCCGCCCATATCTTTTTCTCTCATTCTCTCCCCTGTCTCTTGCTTTCTTCCTCTGTTTTTCAAAAACGATGTCAAGCTCTTTCGTTCTACCCGCCCCATCTCTTTTTCTCTCATTCTCTCCCCTGTCTCTTGCTTTCTTTTCCTTTCTCCCTGTGCTTTTCAAAAACGATGTAAAGCTCTTTCGTTCTACCCCGCCCATATCTTTTTCTCTCATTCTCTCCCCTGTCTCTTGCTTTCTTTTCCTTTCTCCTTCTGCTTTTCAAAAACGATGTCAAGAAAAGTTAACGACCCTTTACCACGCCCTAAGGCATATGGGCTAGGACTGGGGTTTTTTTTTTTGTGTGTGGAAAGATCAACATCACACCGACCGCCTTTATTTTCCAGGATTTTAACTGGTACCCATTTAAGGTTAGGTCGACCTGGGAGCCTGGGTCATTTTTGAAGAAAAAAAAAGTATGTCTTCAAATCCGCAGGCGATAGTTCAAAAAACGAAGATCAGGACATGGAGCTATTTTTGTTGAAAGCATTACCTGAAATCGAGGTCCAAGTTTCAACTCTGTTATCAGATTGTGTGAAATGTCAAACGTCTTCAGCCCTGGTAGGTGTTTCATCACGTCTTGTGGCAGCTGGGTAAACAGGTTGTGACTCAGATCGAGATGCTCAACGTTGGCCGTGTCCGTGAAAAGCCCTTCAGGCAGTGAAGTCAAACGGTTTTCGCGGAGCCGAACCGTCCTCAGACCCAGCATTCCAGTGAAAGTGCAGTCCAGCACGTGGATTAGGGCATTTTGGGAGAGATCAATAAGGTACAAATTGCGCATCTGGACAAAGCTGACGTTGAGAACCGGGCCCAGGGCGTTGTGGGAGAGGTCGAGGGTCAGCGTGGATGCTGAGATGGCGGGCGGGCTCAGCAAGATCTTGTTGGAGCAGTTGACGTGGAGGTTGAGGCTGTCGTGGCATGTGCACGGCTGGGGACATTTATCTGCAAATACTGTTCTAGAGCATATAGTAAGCAGCAGAAGGGGGGACAGTAAAGTTATTTTGGCGCGATTGTTCAAATCTAGAGCCATATTCTAATAAATATCAATGACTCTGCAGACGTTAACTTCCTTTTATTGTACCTCTAGAGCACTCATTATCCAACTCTTCGGTGGCAGAAGGTTTCATGTGAAATGTCCAACGACATAAATAACCACTATGAAAAATATAAGTGTATTAATTTATCAGAAACCTATATACTAGGCATGCCAGACTTCTTCGATATGCTGTGGTCAAATCGGCCAGTTTGAGAACTCAGTGTACGTTGGCTGGGATTCACAGAAGAGCTAATCACACGTTGTTGTAGGGACTGAAAGAAGTAACAGTGTACCAGTGCAATGACCTAAATCTAAGACAGCATCCTCTCATTTGTCTCAGCCTGATAAAATTACGTTCTCTCGTGGAAAATTGTTCTTCTATCTTTTTGCTTCTTTCTATGAGTGCCGATCAATACATGTTCTGTTACTTTCTCTCAGGAGCTTGGACGTCGATGCCATTTCTGTTTTTGGGAGACAAAAAAAAAATATTATTAAAGGTACATAAAAATCCGTTACATAAAAAAGTGTTGGATTTTATTATTTGGAATCCTTCTTCTTCTTTGCGTTTACCGGCTGCAAACTCCGGTGGAAAGTTCTGGTTGTTCGTCCACTTCTGGACTGCAGTCCTGTTCCAAACCCTGAGTGTTACATGTACATGCTTTTCACAGGTCTGACTCATTTGCATGCAGACTGTTGGTTTAATTTCTAATTAGTCGACTCTTACAACATGCTTTTAGGCAGGCAGTGGGTCTATTCTTGTTTTCCCCCACAATGGGGTCTCGGAACCCACACGGGGAATATATATTTGGAATTGACAGTATTTACTCTAGAAGTCAGTGTGAAAACAAGTTCATTTTTTTTTTTTTTATGAAACTCGATAACCCCGGCAATAAACACAACAAAACTACGACAATTAAAAAAAAAACTACTGCAATTAACACATATAAACTAAAGAAAACACAACTAATTTAAAATAAGAACACGGTTTCAAACTACATCAATAAACCCAATAAAATTACAACAATGAACAAAACTCAGCTATAACAGTAAACATAACTAAAGCAATAGATATAACGCGTCTACGGCACAAAAATAAATAAACACAACCACACTACACTAGTTAAAACAACTAAACTACAGCAAATAAACGCAACTAAACTACCAGTAAACAAAACTAAACTAATCTGATGAACGCAGCTAAACTATAGCAGTAAGCATAACTAAACTGTACCAATAAACGCAACTAACCTGCCAGTAAACAGAACTAAACTATACAAATAAACGCAACTAAACTACAAATAAACAAAACCAAACTACTCTAATGAACGCAGCTAAACTATAGCAGTAAGCATAACTAAACTGTACCAATAAACGCAACTAACCTGCCAGTAAACAGAACTAAACTATACAAATAAACGCAACTAAATGACAAATAAACAAAACCAAACTACTCTAATGAACGCACTAAACTATAGCAGTAAGCATAACTAAAACTGTACCAATAAAACGCAACTAACCTGCCAGTAAACAGAACTAAACTATACAAATAAACGCAACTAAATGACAAATAAACAAAACCAAACTACTCTAATGAACGCAGCTAAACTACAGCAGTAAGCATAACTAAACTGTACCAATAAACGCAACTAACCTGCCAGTAAACACAACTAAACTATACAAATAAACGCAACTAAATGACCAATAAACAAAACTAAACTACTCTAATGAACGCAGCTAAACTACACCAGTAAACGCAACTAAACTGTAGCAGTCAACACAAATTATATATACCACTAAACTCAGCTAACCTACCACCAAACAAAACTAAACTGTGCCAATAAACCCAACTAAAGTATTTCAATAAATACAACTCAACTACAGAAGCAAACACAACTAGATTTCTCAAAAAAAGGGCAGCAATATAAGAGCCAAAAGGTTCATCTGTCAGATCTGAGCTGACGCGGTCACTAGGATTTATTCCAAGGAAGATCAGAGAACCTATGGACGTGCCCAAAGTGCAGTTTACATTTACGATCATCGGACCCGAACCTACCGTTGCCCGAAACCTGACAACAGTTTAGCCTTTGTCTTATCTCCTTGTCGTCTGTTAGGCCAGCGTTCCTCAACATTTGTTAATCAGCGGGCCGAGAAAATAGGAGAAGTATTTCGCTAATGCCTTGGCAAATGTAAATTGCATTTATCCACTCTTTAAGTCCCAACTAACGCCCGCTGTGTGAATTAATTTATCCCTTGATTCCCCTCCGTAGTATAATGCGCTCTCTTACTTTTACCATTAGGTCAGAACATACTAGAGAAATCTGGCTTCCCCTATTGGTCACAGCAACTGTATGTATTGCCACTTTGAAAGTAAAATATTCATAATTTAGCAATGTTATTTCTTCACTTTGGTATCTCTTGAGAAACCTTCTGGTACTGACAATTTTATAGTATTGTTAATTTAAAGTGTTAGCTATTGAAACAGCTGCAGCTGCTCTGAAATTAGAAAATCCTATATGCGGGTGTGTGGCTGGGGAGTTGTTTCTGAGAGCCACTCGATTTATCAGTTTGGTTTCTGGTGTCGCTGCAAAAAAAAAAAAATGTAGCACCACGGAATTGAAGAACATTGCTTTAGACCGCTCACCGCCCACTTTCGGTGATGCAGTTTTCCAGGCCAAATCCTGTGACACATGACGCTAGTGTCTGGTTTATCTCTTTAAGTACCAGCCTGTGATTACCATAATAGTTCTGTGTCGTCTTCTTCCTTATCCTCATCCTCCTCTTCCTCCTCCTCCTCTTCTTCTTCTTCTGCTGCTGCCGCTGCTGCTTCTTATTTTTGTCTCTCGCTAAAAAAAAATTAAAAAACAGGCAAATTTTATTAGCTCTTTTATCTTTAGATGTTACTTAAATAAATAACTGATTGGGCATGGCGAAGTTAAAATGATAATTCCTCTCTGTCTTAAGGCGTTGTTTTTTAAATTTTTTCTAAATTGTCTTTCTGTTTTCCTATCACCATTGTCTCTGTCTCCGTAGTGTATATTCTCATATTATATTAATATTTTAAAAATATTTTTGTTATTAATTTGATTTAGGTGATTATGTAGGCATTCCGTACTTTCTTCTATAAGTACCTGGTCGTTGGCGAATAGTAATTCTGAAATATCTTGTTGATGATTAGCGAGTAATTAATTAAATGCCGTAAATCGCGTCGTCTTTCCTTCGAATAAATTGTTCTGTGTTCGCACTTATAAAGGACGGTTAGCCTGTTATGTTGTGGTTTACAACTAGGCTATGATATCACATTTAATGTATTGTCATCACCTTGCCAGCATTATTGTCATCTTTCATTTCTGTTCTATCCTGAGTGAGGGAGGTTTAACCCCCACCAGCGAGCGACAAACACGCCGTGACCCAAAGTGCCACTGTTCGGTTGAGAACCACCGGAGTACATGTCCCAGAAATCCCGTTCATTGTTTGTTCAGAGGATCAACGTCATGATGCCTGGGTGTAACCCATAAGTGCTCCGTTCTTCTTCTAACTCAAGCCTGAGTCTGAAATCCCGTTCATTGTTTGTTCAGAGGATCAACGTCATGATGCTTGGGTGTAACCCATAAGTGCTCCGTTCTTCTTCTAACTGAAGCCTGAGTCGGAAAAATCTCAGCGCAGTGCACGAACTCTGTAGCACCGACGAGGATCCTGAAATACTTTGGGTAGATTTTTAACTGCAAATTTTACTCAGGCAGCGCCGTGAGGCTACTCCTTTCGATTTCCAACTGCCAAGGGAATTTTTTTTTTTTTTTTGCGTGTGCAGCAATTCACGGGCGTCCGATCTCGCTACCCAGAGACCGGGGAGACCACGTGAAAAAATCCTAGCCTTCACCGGGGCTTGAACCTGGAACCTCTGGCACTTGGGGGCGCACACCATACCTCGAGACCACACAGCTCCCTGCAGCAAACCTCGTTCAACCGTTAGGTTATATTAGGGCCATTGACTACAGTCGGGGTGAGGCTTTCAAATTTTTTTTTTTTTTATATTACGTCCCATATAAGGGCGATGTAGGAACCGTAGTGCGTTCTATCCTACGATCCTGATTCAATTCAATGTTAATTGTATCCATTTCTGTGGCCTCATGGATTTCCCTGAATCCAGTCCCGAACGTACTCGTATCGCTTAGGTCTGTGTGTTCGTATCAACCGGGGCGAGAGGGAGGCGTTGCGAAACGTGGAACAAAAACCTCGATCAACTAATGACTCTGCACAACTGCAGAACAGATAAAGTCCGCATCGGGTTTCTGTGAGATTGGAAAGGCTATACTGGGCGACTATCGTCATCATTATCGTCATCATCATCGTCGTCATCATAATCTTCACGTGCCCTGCAGACTGGCGTGGGCGTTCATGAATCTCCTGAGATCTCGGACCCTTGTCCTCTGGGTCAGTTCATGACCTGATCATCATCATCATGTAGCAGGTCCTTTGCAGAACTTCGCTCTCATCACAGTCTGCCTGAAAGAAACTCGGTCTCTCTTCAGCTCTCCCGCCTCATGTACTTTCATACTCAACGAGTCACTTATATCCGGTGCCCATCTTCGTTTTGGTCGATCACTGCCCCTCCTTCCTGGTACCATGCCTTCTGCTATTATTATTTTGTCAGTCCCTTGTGGCGCTTGATATGACCAAAATATTTCAGCTTCTGGGACAGGATGCTGTTTATTAGCCAATCTTCCTTGATGTTAAGACCTTCAAGATTCAAAATATCCTCTTTGTACAAGATATTCTGATAACCTTTTTTATAGCATTTCAGCTCAAAAGCCCCTATTCACTTTCTTAAGGAGTATTCATGGCCTGCTTTTACTTAATCTAGAAAAGGCGTCGATCAGTTCCACCGATGATATTCCCCCTTGCCACGTCGCAGTCCATCCGTCGTCATCTCTCTGCCATTCTGTCTCTCCCTCTTCTACCGTTGATCTTGCCAGCCGTCACAGTATTATCCAAAGCCCCCCCCCCCTTTTCCTCATATAGGCGACTATAAGAAATAAAAATTGGTCTACAAGATATGAGTGAGTGCACGAGGGCTGTTTAGCTAAGGTGAATCAGAGGCCAAACATTTTCCAGATGGAGATTGTCCCAGCCTAGAAAGATCATATAATACAGTACAGCTTTCCAGTGATCTGCGTGCCACTTGCTAACCCTCTGCGAACTGGTGGAGTCAATCCCTGGGCTGCCTGTTGAATAACCATGGTGTACGATGTTACGTTACGGGGGCCGGAACCTAGTAGCTCACCACCCCCCACTCCTCGACGAAAAGTAAATAGAACTAGTCTTCATATAGTCTTCACTTAATCGCGAATGTTAACGCTGCGGCTATAAGCCTTCATCGGCGTATGGCAAACACAATTATCAACAAGAATACGCAAAAATCACTTATCAAATAAAGGTATCTCGATAATTTTTAGGGGTGAGTGGAACGAAGCGCCTTAGCCCATCTTCTCACCCCCTATCATATCCCCTCCCCCTTTCCCTCTCCCACCATTAGATGATTTTGCAATGGGCGCCCACTTGGGGTAGCCATCCCACTTAAACATACATAAAAGGTTTTTTTTTTTTCATATGCGTCTGTACATTTAATATCGTTTCATTTTGAAATTATTATTATTGCGCATTAAACAAGGTTCAGGCCTCTTGAAGCCCCCCTCATGTTTTCTTTGCGTCAGCTGCGATATGTGACTCGACTGTCATGTACCAAGTACTGTGCTGCTACAGGAGAAAATGGCAGGGGTGATGTAAGGGAGATAATCTGTGGGCAGATAATGATGTTTTGTCATTCTAGTTTACTTTGAGAAGAGAATTTGACTGGTCAGGCGAAATAAGACGTCGAATGGGAGTTTGTGTTGAACATACACGGCTGCAGTGCGGCGTCCGTGGCTAAGGCGTTGCGAGTCCGACTCGTAAGCCAGCATACCGCGATCGAAACCTGCGTGGGCTGCGTGGATTTTTATCGTGGTATGGGACGATCGCAGGTTCGACCCAGCCTAATTGGGTACCAGGATGGGCTTCCTGGGAAAGTAAAGACAGCCGGCGTAATGCTGACCACATTACCCACAGAGTGCTGATGGTCTGTAAAAATATGGGACGCTCTGTCCATATGCCCGATGCGCCGAAAGGCGTGAAAAGGGAACTTTACTTACTTTTACTTATACACGGCTGCAAGTTCTGACAGTCTCTCCCTTTGACTATACTTTAGAGACATAATGCTTCGTCATTGTCGTCTTCTTCTTCTCCTTCTTTTTCTTCTTCTTCTTCTTCTTCTTCTTCCACGTCTTCCTCCATCTGTCTTCTTCATTTTCTTCTTCTTCATATGAACACATAATCTGTCATCCTCTTTTTTCCACTTCTTCACTTCTTTTCCTTACTTAGTTTATCCACGTTTGTCCTCCTTTCTGTTCTTCTTCTTTATCCACTTCTTCCTCCTTTTCTTCTTCGTAATCCACTTCTTGCTCCTTTCTTTTCTTCTTCTTTATCCACTTCTTCCTCCATATCTTCTTCATTATCCACTTCTTCCTCCTTCCTTTTCTTCTTATTTATCCACTTCTTCCTCCTTCCTTTTCTTTTTCTTTATCCACTTCTTCCTCCTTCCCTTTCTTCTTCTTTATCCACTTTTTCCTCCTTCCTTTTCTTCTTCTTCTTCTGTTGCTGCTACTGCTTTCAACATTAAAAGTAAATCAGCCACGGGGTCACTCATTGGCTCGCCGGAAACGACTTCTGCCGCTCTTTCTAGTGATAGTATTTTTTCTTCTGTAACCTTTGCTTTCTTCTTCTTCTCTTTCTTCTTCTTCTTTCTTCTTCTCTTCTTTTCTTCTTCTCCTCTTCTTCTTCTTCTTCTTCTTCTTCTTCTTCTTCTTCTTCTTCTTCTTCTTCTTCTTCTTCTTCTTCTTCTTCTTCTTCTTCTTCTTCTACTTTGAACCTTAAAAGTGAATCTGTGATAAGTTATAATTGGGGCTAGGTTATACCATATTAAAATGGCATAGCATTGCTGGCCACCAAAAGCACTGCAAGGTACTTCTGCAGTGTTGATACGATCAAAGTAGACAGACCCAAATACTGTTCCGGCCGGGAACAAATCGTCTACCGGCAAGCCAATGTGCGACCTGGTCGCCAATGTCCATGCACTTGATGCTTGAAACCATTGTTTTCTTTTTCTTTTCTTTTTTAAAGCTTAGATGAAAATCAGAAAACAAAATTTTCTATGATCTGAGAAAGATCAACAGAGACAAGTTAATAAATAACAAGTTCAACTAACAGTCTAGACACAGTTGGTTAAAATTACTTGTGTCTGTGGTAGAAGCTATCAAGAACACCATATTGTGGTTGGAATGATCAAGTAACGTATAGTGAGTTCCTTCATACTTAAAGAGTTAAGGGGCAATGTCTATTCTTATTTCCAGCGTTCGTAATTAATGTTTAGGTGTTGTGAACATTTATTATTGTTATTATTAACTATGAAATGATGTACGAATGAATAACTGTATGTAAGGGTTGGACTGGAAGGGCAGAATGTTAGACGGGTCTTAGAGCCCAATTCTTAACCCTTTGAAAATCAAGTTTGTTTGTTTGTTCATTCCTCTTACTGGGGCACCCACGGGAAAGTTTGATCCTAAAAAGTTCTACAAGAAAATGTAGTTTTCTTCTTATTTTTCTTCTTTCTTTTTCTTCTTTTTTCTTTTTCTTCTTCTTCTTCTTCTTTTTCTTCTTCTTTCTTCTTTTTTTTTTTTTCTTCTTAAGGCTCACCGGCTATAAATTCCGACAGAAAGTTCTGATTGTTCGTCTATTTCTGGACTTTAGTCTTGTTCCAGAGCTTGAGTTTTGCCTGCTTATCTATTTTACAGATCTGTCTTATGTGTTGGCATTGAGGTGTGTCGACACACGAACTGATACATGCTGGAGAGGCATGATCGCCCAAGACAGTCGGCAAGGCACCTGATGATGATGATGATGATGTCATATGTGTATGCAGACTGTTGAGTCATTGCGTCTCAGGCAGATGCACTCTGACTTTGAAGTACACACCTCAGTTTAATAGGAGTAAATCCGGCAAGCAGGGGACGTATGCAAGGAAGAGAATGATGTGTGTAAGGTCAGTTTTCTACGGGAACACGGAGCATTTGGGCCTTAAAACTGCTGCAAGAAATCGTGCATCTATGTGAATACCTGTAATGCCAAGTCTGAAATCAGTAAATTTGCTGTTTTTATCTCTTCAGAAGCTAGTTACCTGCAAGATCACCGAAAGTGGCAGCTGGGGCTCCGGGCTGGGTCGACATCTTGACGACGCAAGCAAGCAGCGAATTTCCGACTTGCTGGAAGTAAAACCTTCGGACTTGTTGATGTTTGCAGCTGGACCGGACTTCCAGCCGGTATGTATGCAGTTTTTCGATATTGTTCTTATCTGAATGTGATCGATTTGTTACCTCTTCTTCTTTTTCTCCTTCTTCTTCTCTTCTCTTCTTTCTCCTTCTATTCTTCTTCTTTCTTTATCCTTATTCTTTCTCTCTTCTTCTTCTTCTCTCTTCCTTCTTCTTCTTCTCTTCTTCCTTTTCTTCTTCTTCTTCTTCCTCTTCTTCTCTTCTTCTCTTCCTCTTCTTCTTCTTCTTCTTCTTCTTCTTCCTCCTCCTCTTCTCTCTCCTCCCCTCATCTTCCTTCTTCTTCTCTTCTTCTTCTTCTCTTTCTTCTTTCTTCTTCTTCTTCTTCTTCTTTTCTTTTCTTTTTCTTCTTCTTATTCTTCTTCTTCGTCTTCTTCTTCTTCTTCTTCTCTTCTTCTTCTTCTTCCTTCTTCTTCTCTCTTCTTCTTCTTCTCTTCTTTTATTCTCTTCTTCTTCTTCTTCTCTTCTCTCTTCTTCTTCTCCTTCTCCTCTCTTCTTTCTCTTCTTCTTCTCTTCTTCTCTCTCTTCTTCTTCTCTCTTCTTCTTCTCTCTTCTTCTGCTCTTCTCTTCTTCTTCTCTCTTTCTTCTCTTTTTTCTCTCTTCTTTCTTCTTCTTCTCTTTTCTTCTTCTTTCTTCTTCTTCTTTCTTCTTCTTCTTCTTCTTTCTTCTTCTTCTTCTCTTCTTCTTCTCTCTTCTTCTATCTCTTCTTTCTTATTCTTTTTTCTTCTTCTTCTTATTCTTAGCATTCACTGGCTGTAGACCCGGGTAGAAAATTATCATTGTTGTTTGTCCACTCCTGGACTTAAGTCTTGTTCCAGAACTTGAGTTTTGTGTGCATCTCTGTATTTCAGATATGATTTATTTACGTGTTGATTGCTGACTCCTCATCTCTCGGGCAGCTGCACTTGACTTCAAAGGAAACACCTGTTGAGTCTGCTTTCACTATATGCTTGTTATGGGGGCAGTGGATCTATCTCAACCCCCAACAGTGAGATCTAGGAACCCACACGGAGATAGACCCTTGTTATGGGGGCAGTGGATCTATCCCCACCCCCAACAGTGAGATCTAGGAACCCACATGGAGATATTAGACCCTTTTTATGGGGGCAGTGGATCTATCTCAACCCCAACAGTGAGATCTAGGAACCCACATGGTGACATTAGACCCTTGTTATGGGGGCAGTGGATTTATCCCCACCCCCAACAGTGAGATCCAGGAACCCACACGGCGACATTAGACCCTTGTTATGGGGGCAGTGGATTTATCCCCACCCCCAACAGTGAGATCTAGGAACCCACATGGAGATATTAGACCCTTTTTATGGGGGCAGTGGATCTATCTCAACCCCAACAGTGAGATCTAGGAACCCACATGGTGACATTAGACCCTTGTTATGGGGGCAGTGGATTTATCCCCACCCCCAACAGTGAGATCCAGGAACCCACACGGCGACATTAGACCCTTGTTATGGGGGCAGTGGATTTATCCCCACCCCCAACAGTGAGATCCAGGAACCCACACGGCGACATTAGACCCTTGTTATGGGGGCAGTGGATTTATCCCCACCCCCAACAGTGAGATCTAGGAACCCACACAGAGACATTAGACCCTTGTTATGGGGGCAGTGGATCTTTCTCCACCCCCAACAGTGAGATATAGGAACCCACATGGTGACATTAAACCCTTTTTATGGGGGCAGTGGATCTATCTCCACCCCCAACAGTGAGATCTAGGAACCCACACGGAGACATTAGACCCTTGTTATGGGGGCAGTGGATTTATCCCCACCCCCAACAGTGAGATATAGGAACCCACATGGTGACATTAAACCCTTTTTATGGGGGCAGTGGATCTATCCCCACCCCCAACAGTGAGATCTAGGAACCCACATGGAGATATTAGACCCTTGTTATGGAGACAGTGGATCTATCCCCACCCCCAACAGTGAGATCTAGGAACCCACACGGAGACATTAGACCCTTGTTATGGAGACAGTGGATCTATCCCTACCCATAAAAGTGAGATCTATGGACCCAAACGGAGACATTAGACCCTTGTTATGGGGGCAGTGGATCTATCTCCACCCCCAACAGTGAGATATAGGAACCCACATGGTGACATTAGACCCTTGTTATGGGGGCAGTGGATCTATCCCCACCCCCAACAGTGAGATCTAGGAACCCACACGGAGACATTAGACCCTTGTTATGGCGGCAGTGGATCTATCCCCACCCCCAACAGTGAGATCTAGGAACCCACACGGAGACATTAGACCCTTTTTATGGGGGCAGTGGATCTATCTCAACCCCAACAGTGAGATCTAGGAACCCACATGGTGACATTAAACCCTTGTTATGGGGACAGTGGATCTATCCCCACCCCCAACAGTGAGATCCAGGAACCCACATGGAGATATTAGACCCTTGTTATGGGGGCAGTGGATCTATCCCCACCCCCAACAGTGAGATCCAGGAACCCACACAGAGACATTAGACCTTTGTTATGGGGGCAGTGGATCTATCCCCACCCCCAACAGTGAGATCTAGGAACCCACACGGAGATATTAGACCCCTTGTTATGGGGGCAGTGGATCTATCCCCACCCCCAACAGTGAGAAATAGGAACCCACACGGAGACATTAGACCCTTGTTATGGGGGCAGTGGATCTATCCCCACCCCCAACAGTGAGATATAGGAACCCACACGGAGACATTAGACCCTTGTTATGGGGGCAGTGGATCTATCTCCCACCCCCAACAGTGAGAAATAGGAACCTACACAGAGACATTAGACCCCTTGTTATGGGGGCAGTGGATCTATCCCCACCCCCAACAGTGAGATATAGGAACCCACACGGAGACATTAGACCTTCACTAATTTTCAAGGCCATGATGTGATGCAAAAGAGCAGACAACTCTATATCTAGTCACCTTCCTTGCAAGACTGCTATCAGAAACAAAATTATTATTTTTAAACGGCCATTCATGCATTCAAGGGGGCCGTTTGGTCTCGAGGCATGGTGTCCACCTCAATTGTTTGAGGTACTGGGTTCAATCCCAGGTAAGGGCAGGGATTTTTTCATGTGGACTTGGACTTCAAGTAATTCCCCCTAGACTCTGGGTAGTGAGATCAAGAGCCCGTCTGCATTGGTGCACACATAAAGAATCCCTTGGCAGTTGGAAATCGAAAAGAGTAGCCGAACAGCGCTGCCCGGGCAACAATTTGGAGTTAAAATCTACCCAAAGTATTTCAGGATCCTCGTCGGTGCTACAGAGCCTGTGGACTGAGCTGAGCTTCTTTGGACTCAGACATGAGTTAGAAGAAAAACGGAGAACTTATGGGTTACTACCCATGTGCCATGATGTTGATCCATTGTTTAAAACCTCAAACCTCATGCATTCATTCATTCTGTGTCCTGTTTGTGGCATTCTGTCATGTGCAATCACTTTGATATCATTGATGGAATCCTGTCCAACAACTTTGGCTTCTCTCATCAGTGTTCACCTTAAAATTTATCTTCAACGTTCTGTATTTACCACTTTTGCTGGGCAGGCAGGCAGGTCTTTGAGCCTGAGGATATAGGGCAGCATGGCTGGTGCTGTCACCGTCGACTGTACAGGTTAGGATTTTTTTTTTTTTTTTTTACCCCTGACAGAAACAATCTCTAACCTTACCAAGGATTCAAACCTGAGTCTCCGCATGAGAGCCCTACATTCTTTACCATTGTTCATCCACTCCTGAACTTTGGTCGCGATCCAAGTTTTAAGTTTTGCAGGTGCATCCAGTTTACAGATCTTATAGTACAGGACCCTTTTCCATGCCTTCATGCGTATTGGGCATATAGGGCTAGACCTTTAGACCAGTCACTCACAGGGTGATGTGGTCAACATCATGCCAGCCACCTTTACTTCCCATAACTTTTGCCTGGTATCTGTTTAAGGCTGGTCGACCAGGGAGCCAAAGTCATTTTTGTGATAAACCACCTCCTATTAGATTTCAACCCATGACCTTCGCATCCACAGGACGAGTGTCTAGCTAGGCGAGTGTCTAGCTGCTAGGCCATAATGGCTTCCTGCAGATCCCATGACCAGAAATGATGACTGTTTCATTCCAATATTTGTGATTAGTTGTCTTCAGCCCTCACCTCTTTGAAAACATCTGTGTTGTACATGTTGGCTATCCAAGGAATCGCATCTTCTATAAAGCCACATCTTTGAGACCTCAAGAGATTGTTTTTTTTTTTTGGCTTGTTTAATAATTTAGCAATAATGAGTAGTAAAAATAATCATAATATAACTAGTAAATATATGATAAATTTAGTGTAGCATCATATATACCAAAGGAGCCAGCATGGTCTAGCAGCTAGAGACTTGCCTGCGGATCAGAAGGTTGTGGGTTCGGTTCCTGACGGAGGCCGGACTTTTTCAAAAATGACCTTGGCTTCCAGATCGACCCAGTCTTGAGTGGGTAACGGGTACAGTCCTAGGAAGTAAAGGCAGCCGGCGTGATGCTGATCACATCACCCACCAAGTGCCGTTTGGTCTATGACATATCATCCCTATGTGCCCAATATGCCTAAGGGCGTGAAACGGGTCGTTTACTTTGCTTTTATCGTTTATACTAAATTTGATAGCAAGTTTAGTATACATGGTGCTATTCTAAATTTATTATTCAAATAATAGGTCATGAAATTACAAACAGTTATTCCATCCATTTTCAGCACACAGTTCTAGGAAAGGCAAGGTTAAAATGTGCAGATTTTTTGGAGTCAAAGGGTAATTTTATGTTAGACGGCCTTTATGCTTTTATGTTAAAAGAAATTGTTAGCGTTTTTATATTGATCTTCTTCTTATTCTTCTTCTATTTCTTCTTCTTCTTCTCCTCCTCCTCCTCTTCCACCTACTCGTCCTCCTCCTTCTTATTCTTCTTGTTTCTTCTTCTTTTTCTTCTTCTTCTTCTCCTCCTCTTCCTCCTCCTCCACCTCCTCCTCCTCCATCTCCTCCTCCTCCTTCTTCTTCTTCTTCTTCTTCTTCTGCGCTAACCAGCTGTAAAGTTCTAAACTCTGGCGGAAAGGTCTGGTTGTTTGTCCACTTCTGGACTTTGGTCTTGTTCCAGAACTTGAGTTTTCTGTGCATGTCTAATTTACAAATCTGGGTTATTTATAGGCAGACTGTTGGTTCCTTGCCCGTCAGGCAGATGCAGTCTGACTTTGAGGGAAACCCCCCTGATTAGTCGACTGTTACGATGTCTTGTTAGAAGGTAGCAGTGGGTCTGTTTGTTTCCATACAATGGGTCTCCGACCCGTATGAGGAATTTATACTAACTATAATTTAATAAAGGAAGTCCCCATGGTGCGACCGCGAGACGCTCACCTACGGATCGGAAGGTTGTAGGTTCGCGTCCTGGCGGAGTCAGACTTTTTTTCCTTGGCTCCCAAGTCGACACAGACTTGAATGGGTACCAGGTACAGTCCTGGGAAGTAAAGGTGGCCGGAGTGACGCTGAGCACATGATCCACCAAGTGCAGTTGGTCTATAAAATATGTCTAGCCCTATATACCTATCACACCTGAAGGCGTGGATGGGGTCCTTTATATTTATACTTATAATTTATTAAATATACAAATGTATTAACACTGGGGCTGTCCTTTACAGGGCATTCATTGGCTGTTTATGTTGTTGTTTTTTTTCTAGACAATTTTATGTTTGATAGTTTGTCATTACTTTACTCATACCATTGTAATATCAGTGCAAAGGGGTCTGTTGCCAAATCACCTGCAGTTGTCTTCAAACCCTGGTATGTCTGGATTGTGAAACTGCATTCACCACCCCTAAGCCGCAGACACTGGCACAGTTGTATTGTTTTTTTTCTACTTCAGCTCTTTATCTCCCAGTGGAGCAGAGGCCCTCATGTCAAGTCATTATATCCTTCGCTATTGCATGCAGCTCACCCCATGTCCACCCTATCTTTGCAAATTCACTATTTTGCTCCCTTCTTCATGTGTTCATTGGTCTACCTTTATTTCTATGCCCCTGTTTGTTCCGGCGCAGAGACATTCTAGTTATATTGTCTTGTGCCTTCTCAGTGTGTGTTCTATCCAATGCCAGCGTTTTATCTTCAGCTGTTGATTCAGTGGAACTTGTTTAGTTCTCTCCCAAAGCTCAACGTTTGTGATTCTATCATACCATTTTCCCTGTGTGGGTTCCGGGGCCCCATTATGGGAAAAACAAGAATAGACCCACTGCCTTCCCAGCAAGCATGTCGTAGGAGTCAGCTACTTGGGCGACTTCCTTTGAAGTCGGAGTGTATCTGCCCAGGCAGCAAGGAACAACAAACTGCACACAAATAACACAGTAAAACTGATGTACATGCAAAACTCAGACCCTGGCCCAAAGCTAAAATCCAAATGGACGAACAACCATGACTCTCCGCCGGAGCTTACAACCAGTGAACAAAGAAGAAGAAAAAGATCATACCATTTAATTCTCTCTGTTTTGCACAGGCACCAATTAATGAATGTTTTTAACTGAAGGAGATTCTTTACAGAGTGATGTTTTATCTTTTCTGGCCTGTACTCCTTTTTCTTCATTTTCACCAGCTGCAAACTCCGTGAAACGTTCTGGTTGTTCTTCCACTTCTAGACTTTGGTCTTGTTCCAGAAATTGAGTTTTGCATGCACATTGTTTTCACATCTTTGGCTTATATGCATGCAGATGTGGTTCCTTACCTTTCAGGCACATGTATTCCGATTGGTTCTTCTTCTTCTTCTTCTTCGTTCACCGGCTGTGAATTCCGGCGGAAGGTCACGGTTAGTCGTCCGCTTCGACTTTTGGCTTTTACCTGGACCTGAGTTTTGCGTGCACAACCGTTTTGTTGTTCCCTGCTTCATGGGCAGCTGTACTCCGACTTTGAGGGAAGACGTCAGGCCTAATTCTAGGATGACTGTGGCCATTGTTTTGTGTGGGTCGAGACGTTGCCTGATTTGTGTGGTGTCCACTTTGTCTCCTTCTCCGCAGGTATTGCCCCCAGAGTACCCCTTTGGGGCAGCCCCCTGTGGAACGGTTGGCCCTCAAGGGAAGGCAGGGGCAGATCATGGGCATTCCCCGCCATCCAAGGAGGCTTCCATTTTTGCAGAGCTGGCACATGGCGCTCTGGTTCTGGGCTCACCCAAGGAATCGTCACGTCCTGCACATGCCTGCTTGACCTCACAACCGTATTAGGCCTCCCGCTCGACAAGGGCTGCGCCCTCCGGAAGTCAGCTGGGAGTAGCCCGCGAATTCTGGACTTTTGTGACCACCCAAATAGGTACATTCTTTTTCTTCGCCTGTTAGGTATCTTTGACGAGCCGTTAGACCGACAAAATTAAACATCCTGCGTCAGACATATCGTTATCTATTTGGTTCCAGCACGCGGACGAGTGGGGTCTTTTGGTGTGGACATTTGGACTTTTTCCGTTCAATACGATTTGTGATGGTCAGATTTTGAGCTTACGCGTGTGACGTGGGTTCTAGTTTTGTTGGACATTTAGGCTTAGCCAGCCGATGGATGGTTGCTGTCTTGGTGTACCTCAGCACGATGACGACGACACTGAGGGTTAACAGAGGATGTACATGGGTAGAATCTTGCTGCGAGACGCCACCCACAGGAGATGTTACTCGTCTGTGCTGCGGGTGAATCTCTAGGTCAAGGGTTGAGTCTCAGCAGAACAATGTTCTCTTCACTCCGCAATCTTTTAACCAATTGTTGTAATTTTAGTTGTACATTCGGCAAGCACTTTACTCATGTTCCTAATGAGTTTTGATAACCTTTTTCACCCATGCGTTTGGGGGCGGGCTAATGAGAGCCACAAGGACACATCACCTCTGGGGGGCCGCCAAACTCAGAGTTTCCCTGACAGCTCTGTTAATGCTCATTTGAAACATAATCCGTGGCGCACGACAAGGACGTGCTGCAGGGGTCTTGCGTGAGGTTCCGTACAACCAGAACAGTGAAGGACTGGCGCCCGAGTGACGTACGGAGTATCTCCTTATACACTTCATGTTGGACTTAACTTTCCCTCACGCCTGTGACATAAATCACCGCGCCACATTCCGATTGGTAAATGCACTGGTTCCATTCTTTTTCTTCACATAATGGAGTTCCGGAACCCATACAGGAATTCGGACGTGTATGAAGCTTCTGTCAAAGCTTTTTTGCCATGTTATAAACTGTGTTCACATCCTTTGGTCTGGGATTTCCTGTGGCTAAGTGGTTAACCTTTTTCCCCATGCTTTGAGGGTTGTGGATTCAACTCATGGACTGCATTGTTAATTTTGCAGAGTTCATAAGTTCATAAGTGCAGTTCTTACAGACGTCCCTAGGGATTGTTGCAGGGACTGTAGAGATCACGCATTGTGTGAAGAAACGTCAGCAAGGTGCTAGAATTTTCTGCTCAGAGAAACTGAGCCATATAGGCTAAAACCCAGTGTAATGCAATCTGTCCTCGACTTTACCCTTTTTTATACTGTTACAGGGATTCTGTGATGGAGCACTTATGGGAATGTCCAAAGTGCATTTATCTCAAGTCTTGATTGATTGATTCATTGATTCATTGATTCATTCATTCATTGATTCATTCATTCATTCATTCATTCAGAGATTCTATCAGTTTAGCTGTCCTCTTTCATGTTGTTGAATCTTTGATCAGCCACAATTTTTGAGTTAAAGTTTACAAGGAGAGAATACATTTATTCTTGATATGATAATTTACCACATGGTTTTTTTTTTTTGCCTTGTATTTAGGTGTCACAGTCAGACAGCCAGGATTCAAGTTTCTTTGGGTTGATACTTTCCCCTTGTTTTTGCCTAAGGAAGACGGAGGTAAACTTTTAGGTTTTTTTTTCTAGAAGGTTGGTTTTTGTATCTTATTTAGACTTTAATTTCTGACTTTTAACTTTTTCACACCTATAAAGCTTTTAAAAAAGAGGGGAGGGGGATAATGACCCAATTAGAATTCTCGAGAAAAAAATTATGTCAAAACAACATGTTAATACAGGTAACTAATAATTGTTTCTGCCATTTTTATATGTGCATTTGTTAATTGTTTCCAACTATATCAAAAGATATAAAGAGAGTCATCAATAAACATGAACACAGTGATGCATTAAATGGAGAACATTTGCCCGGGGCCAAAAAAAATATATGAACCGGGTGACTCATACTGTGACCCTATGACCTCTGTCACTGAGGTTTACTGGAAATTTGATATCAAATTTTTTTTTTTTTTTTTTACTATTTGGTTTAAAGGATTCCCCTCCCGCTTTCTTTTTTTTTTGTTCTCCCCCAATGCAGTTTTTAGTTAATATATTCACAGTCCTTAAGAGGAAATTAGGAGGGGCTTTTGAGCTGAAATGCTAAAGAAATATTCTCAGAATACTATGGACAAGAAAGAGGGGATATACTGACATTTAAAAAGATCTGATCATCATGGAAAATTGGCTAATAAACAGCATCTTGTATTGGAAGGTGACAAAATTTTGGTCAAGCACCATGGCGAATTGAAAAAAAAAATATTAGCAGAAGGCATGATACCAGGAAGGAGGGGCGGGGGTCGACGAACACAAAGATATGCACAGGATATAAGTGACTCTTTGAATATGAAAGTAAATGAGGCGGGAGAACTGTTGAGAGACCGAATTTCTTTCACACAGATGAGCGCAACATTCTGCAAAGGACCTGCTACATGAAGATATATTCACATCCTGCCCTTGTAAAAGTTTGTACAGGTCATGTGTGATAAACAGGTTACTATAGACAATCAGAAATTAACATTAATGGGGGGATTAGCCCGAACCGGAAGTGTCGGCTTCTCAGGATGACCTGGTTAAACAAAAAAACAAAAGTGAAGGAGATTCGAGGTTAAGTGTTTAAGCTGTCTGCCTCATACTCTGAAGGTCATGGGTTCAAATCACAGATTGTTTTGCTCACTTAGCAAGTGTTATTTTTGTAGAGGTTCCTGGGAATTGTCACTGGTGCTGTGGAGTTCATGCTTTGTGTGACAAGGCAGGATCCTTCAGGAATTACCTGTAAATTCTCCATTATAATAACCATTTCACACCCATCATTAATTTTTTTTTTTTTTTTTAAATATGTATCTACATTTAAAATTAAAATACAGCTGTAAAAAAAATACTTCCAAAATAAATTAATGGAGTAATCAATAAACATTAACAGAGTGAAGCATTCACTGGGGTGCATTGCTCCAGGCCTAAAAATGTTTGTATCTGGTGACTTACACCTTGACCTATAACACTGAGGTAATGGGGAAATTATGACATCAGAAGGGCTTTATAACATCCATTATGTTCATAATACCCCTCCCCCCTCCCACCCACCTCCCACCCACCTCCCCCAACAAGAGCTAGTAAATATATTCATATCCTGACCTCCTAAATGTGGTGCTGGCACAAACACAGCCAATGTAAAAAAAATTGGGCTTCTCCAGGACATGTCACTGTATCATGTTGGTAAAGCACATTTATAAGGTATTGGACCCAACCGGAAGTACTGGTTTTTTACCTTCTCTAGCCAACAAGATTAAGATTCATATTGGATTTAACTCACAGTATTCCAGAAGGTTCCCAACAAACCATCATCATCAAAAGCAGCACACTATTTACACTGCCTGTGTTAAGCCCAGTAAACTAAAAAAAACCTGGCAAAGTTTGTATGCCTTTATCCATTAACAAATTCCGGAAGGAGAGATTGTAAAGATTTTCTAATTTTATCTTCCAGGTGAAGGACTGGAGTCTGCTCATCATCCATTTACAGCTCCCCATCCTGAAGATCTGAGACTGGTTTTCCAGTCACCAGAACTTGTAAGTGGAGACCTTGGTCTGTGTGAAAAATGCAAACATCTGACAATACTGGTGCAGTAGGGAATGTTTTTTCAGTAGTGTAGAGATGGGGAAAGTAGCTGGTAGGATGGAGGGAATGCCCCCATGGTAGTGCTGATGTGGGAAGTTTAACAGTAAAGGAAAGAGATGGGGAATGTCTCTACAGTAGTGCAGAAATGGGAAGTGTAACTGCAATAGTGAAGAGGTAGGGAATGGCTCTTCAGTAGAGCTGATGTGGGAAGTTTAACAGCAAAGGAAAGAGATGGGGAATGTCTCTACAGTAGTACAGAAATGGGAAGTGTAACTGCAATAGTGCAGAGGTAGGGGAATGGCTCTTTGGTAGTACTGAGGTGGGGAGTGTCTACAAGAAGGTGAAAATAAAGAAAGAACGTCTCTGCTGTAGTGCAGATGTGGAGAGTTTCTTCAGTAGAGTGGAGAAAGAGAATTTCTCTTCAATAGAGCGTCTTTGTGGAGTGTTTCTGCAGATGGCACTCAGGGAAATCACAGTCTTTAAGTGTTTAAGTGCCTGTCGTTACCACTTTTCTGATGTAGGCAGGGGGAGGTCTTTGAACCTGAGGATTTAGGACCGCAGGGCTAGAACTGTCGTCATGGACTGTGCAGGTTAATAAAGTAAAGTAAAGGACCCTCTTCCATGCCTTTCAGGCTTATAGGGTATACAGGGCTAGACCTATATTCTATAGTCCAACGGCACAAGAGGGACGATGTGGTCACTAATAATCTTCAATCTCTGCTGATTCCGTCGCTTGTTCCCGTCGCTTGTTCCCAAAGGGTTTTGACCACATCTTTCTTGTTGTGCATCAATTCACCACCCAGTGGTGAAGATCCAACCAATCTATGGCAGTCCCTGTATGGGTTTGAGGCCCCATGTTGGAGGAAGACAAGAACAGACCCATTACCTCCCTAACAAGTATGTTGTAAAAGGGGACTAATTAGGGCTTTTGTCCTCTGTAGTCAACGGTCATTGTAGTCAACAACAAAAATAATAGCAGAAGACATGGTACCAGGAAGGAGGGGCAGGGGCTGACCAAACACAAAGATGGGCACAGGATATAAGTGACTCCTTGAGTATGAAAGTGCATGAGGCGGGAGAGCTGGCGAGAGACTGAGTTTCTTTCAGGCAAACTATAGTGAGAGCGACGTTCTGCAAAGGACCTGCTACATGATGACTCAAAGGTCATCTGCCTGAGTGACAAAGAACCAACAGTCTGCTTTCATGTAAGCCAGATCTGTAAAATAAAAGTTTTTTAACAAAATTGAAGTCCATAAGTGGTGAAACATCCAGAACATTCTGCGTGAGTTTACAGAATTTGTTAATTGATTATTGTGTGTGGAGGAATTTCTGTTTAATTATTCATTATTTATTATCATATTTGCAAGCAAAAAATCGTCCCTTTGAGGCATGTAATTTTTTGTTATTTGAAGCCCCACCCTGGCTTTTGCCGGGGGCCCTAAATATAGCAGGGCCATAAATATGGCCTATCAGCCGAACGTGATTTCCGGGATCTCTCTACATGTGGTCCTTATCCGCATGGTGACACTTTTTGTTACCGGGTGTTTATCGCTTTGTGAGATGTCCTGGTGGGGTTCAACTTACATACATGCATACGTTATCATGTTGTGTTGTTAAATGTCAGAACTCGTATCGATTCCTCCTTTCATTCTATCATGTGCCATTTTTTTTTTAAAATTCTTCTTCATGTAAACTCTGGCGGAAAGTCCTAGATTTTTTGTCCGCCTTTAGACTTTGGACTTATTTCAGTACTTGATTATTGTATGCATGTTAATTTTACAGGTCTGGTTTATTTATACTGGTTTTTAATTTTAACAGAGGACAATAAATGATGCTGAACTTTTTAGAATTCTGAACTTTATAGGTAGACAACAAATCAAATGGATTGGCCATGTAATAAGATTGGCATCAGACAGGGCACCACAGAGAGCAGTGCTATAAGATACAGTGGGAACAGACCCAGAGGTCGACCACACAGAAGATGGACTACAGAAATATCAGAGTCACTGAAAAGTACTTTTTATGAAGTGAACAGAAGGGCCCGTTCCAGAGATCTCTTCCTTTCCTGAAGCCGCGAGGCATCCCAGAAATAGAGAAAAGAAGAAAAAGATAATAAATGAAGGAACTACTGTTTCATTTATCACTAATTCATTATCATTTTTTGAAATTAACTGTCATATAGTTCTCACACCGATTCCTCCTTTCCATTCTGTCCTCTGTAATTTATTTATTTTTCAATATCACTGTTTTATTGTCTCATGTCATTCATGCAGCTCATGTCTTTTTTATTTTTTTGTTTCTCTCTCTCTTTTTTTCACTTTCAAATTTCCCCCACACCCAATCCGGTGTATTCCCTGGCTGACCTCAAAGGTTAGGAGTCAACATTATGACCTTGTTCTCAATGGCAGTGAGATTGGTGGAGGTTCCATACGTATTCATAACTCCAAGCTGCAGAGATACGTCCTCACTCAAGTGCTGAAGGTAATTCATTGTTTTTTTTTATGATATTCTGAAATAGGAGTTTTCTTTCTTAGATTTATTCAAATGTGAGTCCTAAAATAGTTGAAATCCCGTTTTTCTAACTTATATTTCAAATGTGTGTACTTTTTTATATTCACTTTCTAGTTTTAAAATAGTTTGAATCTTTTTTGGACCCACATTCCAAAGTTGATATGAGAAGGTTTCCATGAAACCCCTAAAAGTGTGAAAGAATTACAATATTATTTTATAATATGTTTACAATAATATATTATTGAATTACAGTCAAGTACTGAATAGACTGCATACCCTGGGTGTACCAACTGGAGCAGCGAAACAGGAAAATTATGCAGGAGTCACCCATTGTTACATCAACCACAACAGAATGGGAGTTGTTAGCCTGAAAACACTTGGAGACATACTCAGGAGGAGATAATATTCTTCTTCTTCTTTGCGTCCACCAGCTGTAAACTCTGGTGGAAAGTTCTGGTTGTTCGTCCACTTCTGGACTGCAGGCCTGTTCCAGAACCTGAGTGGTGTGTGTGCATCCATTGACAGATCTGACTCCAACTTCGAAGGAAGCTCCCAATTAGTCGATTCTTACCCCATGCTTTTGGATAGGCAGTGGGTGTGTTCTTGTTTTCCCTAAATCAGGGCCCCAGAACACACACAGGGAAGGAGGAGATAGGAGCACTTATGGTCATATCCGATGTGTGATGAAGATGATCTCTAAAATGAACAGTGAACAGAAATTACAATAACTGCCATTGTCTTGTAACCAGTCAATGTTGTTGTTAACCCTCTGGAGATGGAGCGTTTTTGGAGTTTCAGTGCCAAAAAGATGGAGCCCTGAGGATAAAAATTCTCTTAGTTTATACACACACAAATTATAAAAAGCAGAGCGTTTAATTAACATATACAAAGCTATATATATTCGTGTAGGAAATTGAATGAGCTAACAGAATATTTATGAAGCAAACTGAAATCTTAACATTTATTCAAATTAACTAATCTGATTTGCTTAATTTATTCAAGCATTTTTTTTTTTACTTGGGAACATACATGACTTGGGAACATACATGACTATACTAAACTACTTCAAGTCACAAACCAAGAAACTTTAGACAGTATGATTACCAAGAGAAGATGGAAATGGCTTTGCCATGTTATGAGAATGAATCCTGATATACCTGCCAAAACAGCTCTCATATGGACACCAGAGGGAAAGAGAAAACAGGGGTGCCCAAAAACGACATGGAGACGAACTATGGAAAGTGACCTGACTGCGGCATCTTTGACATGGAAAACTGCACTGAAGATTGCACAGGACAGGAAAGCATGGAAAGTCCTCTCTGAAGCCTCATGTGCCAGTAGGCATAACGAGAACTGATTATACATGACTAACCTGAAAGATTTGGGTGCAATTTTTGATGGATGATGCTTGAATAAGTCCTAACACTTGTATTTTGGGAAGTAAGGTCCTTTGAGGCCCTTCAGACACGTCTGGCACATGGTTCTACTTATTTTCCTGCCTCCAGCTATGTTTCGGTTGCTATGACGCAACAGACCTTTTTGCCATTGTTGGTCACAGGTAACCCCAGAAAGAAAATTGGTGTACAATTACTGAACACATCAAACTTTGTCGGAAGCCATCATTGAACAGGCCACATGTGCAGGAAATGGGAGAAGCAATCTGATTGGCTGATCAAAAACCTGCCAGCCAGACTCTAGGCTTGTATTACATAGGGCCGACCAATTGGCCCAGTCATCCTTTTGGCTACTTTGTGTCTGGCCGATATTTCAGCCACGTCGTCTCCAAAGGGTTAAGGATGTCAAGAGTGTTAAGCTTGTAACATCACAATGCAAATTAACAGGGTGACATCATAATTACACTTTTAAAATGGCCAACCCATTTTTGACATGCACCAAAGAGAAGCAGCATTCTTTTATCTGTTTGTTTTATCAGTGAATTGGTGAAATCTGTAGAAATTTATCGTCAAATTGAAGATCCAATATTCAGATTGCCCGCATTGGTTACGGGGCCTCACTGTGGGGGAAACAAGAATAGACCCACTGTCTCCCTAACCAGCATGTCATTAGAGTCGACTGACTGGGAGCTTCCTTCAAAGTCAGAATGCATCTGCCTGTAAAGCAAGCAACCAGCAACCTGCATTCAAATAAGTCAGATCTGTAAAATGGATGTGCACACAACACTTAGGTTATATAACAAAGTCCAGAGGTGGACAAACAACTAGAACTTTCTGCTGAAGTTACAGCCAGTGAATGTATAGAAGAAAAAGAAAACTATAGTAATGCATTGCTTGCGCAAAACAGAAGGAATTGAATGGTATGATAGAATCACTAATGTAGAGCTTTTATAGAGAACTAAACAAATTCCGTTGGACCAGGAGATGAAGGAAAGATGCTGGCATTGGATAAGACACACTTTGAGAAAATCTGAGAACAGTATAACTAGAATGTCTTTGCACTAGAACGCACAGGGGCATAGAAATAAAGGAAGACCCCAAAAACCCATGGAGAAGGGAGCTAGAGAGTGAAGTTATAAAGGTGGGGAGGTCGTGGGGAGAGCTACATGCGATAGCAAAGTATAGAACAACTTGGCGTGAGTTGGATGAGTGCCTATGCTCCATTGGGGGCTAGAAAGGCCCTGACCAGGTCAGGTGGTTCTGTGACAAACTGTTCATGACCAAGTCAGGTGACTTCTGTGACAAACTGTTCATGACCAGGTCAGGTGACTTCTGTGACAAACTGTTCATGACCAGGTCAGGTGACTTCTGTGACAAACTGTTCATGACCAGGTCAGGTGATCCTGTAACAAACTGTTAATGACCAGGTTTGGTGACTTCTGTGACAAACTGTTCATGACCAGGTCAGGTGACTTCTGTGACAAACTGTTCATGACCAGGTCATGTGACTTCTGTGACAAACTGTTCATTACCATGTCAGGTGACTTCTGTGACAAACTGTTAATGACCAGGTCAGGTGACTTCTGTGACAAACTGTTTTATGACCAGGTCAGGTGACTTTTGTGACAAACTGTTCATGACCAGGTCAGGTGACTTCTGTGACAAACTGTTCATGACCATGTCAGGTGACTTCTGTGACAAACTGTTCATGACCAGGTCAGGTGACTTCTGTGACAAACTGTTCATGACCAAGTCAGGTGACTTCTGTGACAAACTGTTCATGACCAAGTCAGGTGACTTCTGTGACAAACTGTTCATGACCAAGTCAGGTGACTTCTGTGACAAACTGTTCATGACCAAGTCAGGTGACTTCTGGGACAAACTGTTCATGACCAAGTCAGGTGACTTCTGTGACAAACTGTTCATGACCAAGTCAGGTGACTTCTGGGACAAACTGTTCATCACCAAGTCAGGTGACTTCTGGGGCAAACTGTTCATCACCAGGTCAGTTGATCCTGAGACCACACTAGCTTCTCCTGGCATAAGTAACTTAATCCGACTGGGGATGTTTGTGTATTGCAGCACGACAGTTCAGAGCTGGAGCATCTGTTGGAGGCCCTGGAGTCTGGCTGTCCCCCTCATGGAGGAATTGCTTTAGGTAAAGTACCCCAAGTGGTCAGTACCCCAAGTGGTCAGTACCACAAGTGGTCAATACCACAAGTGGTCAGGTATAAGTGAATTAATTTTCTTGTCCATTTCCTAGTTATTGGGTATATGGTGCTGTATTGTTATGAATCAAAATAAAAGTGAGCACACAGCAGATGCTCCAGTGCAGGTGTGAAGAGATAGATCTACTTCTTCCTCTTCTTCTTTTTCTTCTTCTTCAGCATTCCAAGCCCTAGAGGTTCATTGCTGCAGGTATCACCCGCTCCCACTCATCTCTCTGGTTGGCCTTCTCTTTCCAGTTGGTGACACCAAGTGTTTACAGGTTTCTCTGGACATTATCTCTCCATCATCTTCTTGGTCTACCTCATGGTCTATGACCATTCAGCTCCCTGGAATATACAGTTTTTACCTCTCTGTTATCTGACATTCTCTCAATATGCCCCAACCATTTCAGTCTATTAGCTCTCATGATGCAAGTGATCAATGGTGATTTAAACAGATTATGAATTTCATTATTGCTTCTCCCTCTCCATTCCCCAATGTTAACATCTTTAATAGGTCTAAAGATTCATCCTTACACTCTGCTTTCGAAAAATTTGTATAAGGCTTTATCTCTTTTAGTTGTGCTCCAATTTCAGAGCCGTATAAAACAACTAGTCTTATCAATGTTTTATATATTTTGATATTGGTGTTGGTAGATAGAGACTTTGACTTTAGCAGATGATGAAGGGCATAGTATACTTTATTTCCAGATTGTGTTCTAGATTGTATATCTCTCAGCACGTTGGAGCAGTTGAAGTTTGCATCCAAGTACTTATATGTTCCTGTTAGTTTGATTATCCCATTATCGACTTGTATGTGGCCTGAATTTATATCCTTACCCTGTCTTGTTATTATCATGTATTCTGTCTTATCTTGATTGATAACTAGTCCCATTTATTGAGCTGCTTCTTTAAAGAGAGTTTTTATAGTCTATAGTTTATTTTCTCCGACAATATCAGTGTCATCTGCATAACCAGTCTTCACATTAATTAATTGCACAATAGATGTCAATCTGCTGGCCTCTTAATTCCATGTATATTGCAATGAAGAGAATGCAATGTCCGCAAGGGTTACAAACAGTAAAACATTAAGGTTACAAACCCCTAGTAGGAATGAAGACTGGCTGGTTGATCTATGTCTTGGCTAACATACTTTGGAAATAATTCCTAAAAGTATATGCTCTTGTGAAGATTGTGGTACAGTGGAACCTCGCTTAACGAGCATAATTCGTTCCAGAACCACACTCGTTAAGCGAAACACTCGTTATGCGAAATAATTTTTCTCACATAAATTAATGTAAAAAACAATAATGAGTTTTATGTCGAAAAAAATACTCACAAAATGCTATGTATAATGTTTATTCAAAGAAAATTATATACATACTGGTAGGGAGAGTGAATCATCTTCACCCTTTCTTCAAACGACTGGAACGAGTGCTAAACACAGACTGATGTAGCAGCGTACTCCAACACTGTCGACTGTATGTATTTAATATTTTATACTCTACCATAACCAAACTCCGCTGCAAACTGTATGCTGCAAACAGAGAGGCCATTTGGCAAGTGCCAGCCTCAGTCAAAACAAAACTGTATGGCACACCCTGAGAATCCGACTGCACGACAGCTTTGACCAAGGCTATTGACCATGACCTCCTGAAAAAAATGTTTTCTGACACAAGGAAGGATGGAAAAAGAAGAAGACCGCTAGTCCTGTGTTACATATAAATGGCACCACAAGATGATGATGATGACATGATTGTTTGTTAACTAGTCCTCTGCAACATAAGTAAGCCTTGGTTGGTAAGCATTCTGTTATCCATTTGTGTATCACTGAAGGAGTGAAACCTAAAGAAATGAAGGTCCACTGTAGTGATGTATGCCTTTTGGTCTAGCTGTCTGCCATGTGCAAAAGGGAAGTAGTAGTTTCAAAACGACATGACTTCTGTGATAGACTGATCATGACCGGATCAGGCAAACCGCTGCTCCTCTTTAGTGCATTTTAAAAGTAGGGTGACCATCTTTAAACTGTCATTATGACGTCACTGTGTTCCGCTGCTCCATACTGTCGCATGCTTAACACTCTTGACCACCGTAACAACAATATTGACCGGTTAAAAGACAACAGCATGGTTATTGTAATTTCTGTTACATTTTAAAGGTTTTCATTTGTAGCACCCTTGTACTTCATATTTGTTACTTGTGGTTTGTTTCCTTATTTTTAAAATAATATTTTTACATCAAATTCCCAGGTCTAGATCGTCTGATAGCCATCATGGTTGGTGCCAGCTCTATCCGAGACGTCATAGCTTTCCCAAAGATCACACAGGGGAAGGACCCTCTGAGCAACTCCCCAGCCTCTGTGGCCCAGGCTGATTTAGACTACTACCATATGCAACTAGAAAAAGACAGGAAACTACGTCTAACCCCTTTCTGAGATGCTTTGAGGCATAAGCAGTTGGAAAAAAGAAGAAGGAGACTTAACTATAAATATAAAGTGTCTACTACAGTTGTGCTAAAATAGTATGCCTTAAAAAAAGGGTGCTGGTACTGTGTACCATTGTTTACCACCAGAAAAATGACCTGATTACTGCAATTAATAAGCAGATAATTCCCTGTCTGGGTTCATGGGCCCTGCTGTAGGGAGGGGAAAAAACAGAATAGACCTACTGCCACCCCCCTCCCCCTTTCCCAACAAGCAATTCATAAGAGTCAACTATTTAGGGATGTTTCTTCGAAGACAGAGTGCATCTGCCAGAGAGGCGAACCAACAGTCTGCATACAAATAAGCCAGATCTGTTTTTAAAAAAAGGGGGGAGGGGGAAGGAGTGAGCGCAAAACTCTGGTTTTGGAACAAGACTAAAGTCCAGCAGTGGATGAGTAACAGAACTTTCCACGGGAGTTTACAGCCAGTCGATGTAAGGAAGAACTTCAAGAGAGGGCCATGTTGAATGAATATCATGATTACATAGCAAGGGAAAGACAGTGCAAAAAATTGAGCAATTGTATCCAAAATCATCCTTAAGAAAATAAAATCCAGCTTACAAAGTGCTTTAGAAAGAGTATACAGAAGATGTCTCTCTCAAATACTTCATTGGGATGACTATATACAGAGTGTGGCATTTTTGACATGGAAAACTGCATTGAAGAGATGCTGGACAGTCTGACATTGGGGCATGGAGGATTATTGTTTCAGAGTTGATTGAAAGTGCATGAGATAGAAGGTGGTGATAAGACATAACAACCAACGCCACATGACATGGACTTTAAGAAGAAGAAGAAACATCTCAACAGCATTCACAACATTAACTCCCTCACTTGCTGACTGCCAGCAACTGACAGTGCAAGCAGAACAAACATTTTACGATGTCCCCCACACCCTACCCATCAAAAGACACCTTCCATGTTTGATTGTTTCCATAGGGAAACATAACGACCAAAGTCTTGTTCAACAAGCCTTGTTAATTATAACATTTCCACCCCCGTGTGGGTTCTGGAGCCCCATTATGGGGCAAACAAGAATAGACCCACTGTCTCCCCAAAAGCATGTCGTAAGAGTCGACTAATTGGGGAGCTTCCTTTGAAGTCAGAGTGCATCTGCCGGAGAGGCAAGGAACCAGCAGTCTGTATTCAAGAGAATGAGATCTATAAAACTGATGCATACGCAACACTCAGGTTCTGGAGCAGGACTGCAGTTCACTAGTGGACGAGCAACCAGAACTTTCCGCCAGAGTGTACAGCTGGTGAAGGCAAAGAAGAAGAAGAAAATAACATGTCTCATAGTGATACTAGTTTTTGCAAGCAAATTGTTTACAAAAATATATTCTACATCAAACATACAGATCTGTTAATTGATAAGTTGTGTGTTCTCTTCTCTATGGTTGTGATTGTTGGATAAGAAATCGAGAATTTGTAATGTTTGATACTGCATCATCTAGTTTGAGAATGGAGGTGGAGGCAGTCATGGCAGCTTTCTACTGGCTGCATACAAATGTCAGCATTTTAACTGACTCACAAAGCATGTAAAGAAAAGTGAATACAGTCATGCTCTTTGCAGAGTGGCAAGCATTGTTTCAGGGGTCCTGGGTAGTTAGCGTTCTTTGGATATTTTCTTCAGGTCATACAGGAGTTTTGGAAAATGAACAGGCAGACAGAGTGGCTGGTTCTACACCAATATGTGATAAATTGATGAATGGAAAGCTAGATGTGGTCAGGGCCCTTTCAGAGCAAGTGAACAATATGGAGGCAGGAATAGATCCTTATGGTTTGAAAAGAGTCATATAGCTAGAAGTGATCAGGGGATGTGGTCGACTCTGCACTTAGAAGAAAGGCAAGTAAAGTCAAGATCCCTTTTGACACCTTTAGGCGCATCATGCGTATGGGAAGAGCAACCATATTTTACAGACCAATAGGTAGGCACTAGGTGGGTAATGTGGTCAGCATTACGCCGGCCGTCTTTACTTTCCCATGGTATACATCCTGGTACACATTTTAGGCTGGGTCGACCCCCAACGCCTCATACCATGATACAAATCTACACAGCCAGAAGTAGGTTCCGTTCACGGTACAACTAAACACTGAAATATTTTCTCTTTGTGTGTTTGCAGTTGAAAGTTTGGCACCTTTGCCGTTGAGAATGGTATTCTGGATGCTAGTCGAACAGGCCAAATACCAATTATCCCCTTCAAGAATCCCTAACAGTTATAGTTAGGACACTGCAATATCTACAACACGTACTTTTGATGTTCTATATACCCCCCGCTTCCCTTTTTTTACCATACCTTTTGTTTTTAAACCACGTCGGCCCCCATGCGCCAAACTGGCATCCTGGCTACCTGAAGGTTAAAGCCAAATCGCCAGGCTGAAAGGGAACAGCGAGGCATTTTATTTATTTTTGTTAGTCTAAATAATTACAGCACTGTGCATGGTGGCCCATATCTTAATTAATCTTGAATACGATTGCCGATGTGGGGAATCGAGTGTGGTACTTGTCTAGAAGAACTCAGGCTAGAACCGATGTGCCGTTAAGCAGCTCGAAGCAGAGACAGTAAACGTCCACACCCTTCTGCTTTTGTTTTCTGCGAGAGACCGAGCACTTGTGAGCTTGTCTAAAGTGTGAGGGAGTGTCTGTTATCTGAACTGACTGCGTATTTGTGACTAAGAGGGTGCACAACTCTGGATAGACTGGCCAAAGCACACGAGTCGTCACAGTAAATTATTACTTCCCCTGTAGATGGATGTATATACATTGGGGTTACTATTATTGATTACAGTTGAATTCTTCTTCTTCGTCGTCGTCTTGAAAGTTACCTTAACGAAGTGTTGCTGATGGGGAAAAGAGAGTAGGCGGTATGTAAGGGTCGTCATTTTGCTTAATCTAATCTAGTCTGTAATTTGACCTCTCAGGGGAAAAGCCAGTCGTATTACAAGGTGCGTCCGCCAGGTGGCCAATAGTGTAGTGGCCTCTAGAGATAGAGGTTAACCGCGAATGTATTGATTAAGTCGACGTGGACCAACACAGATGGTGGTATTTAAGAGCATGCAAGTTTGCTGGTGGCGCAGCTAGTTCTTTAAAATGCCCCGAAACTTCGTGACATGACCCTAGGCGGGTAAGAGGTGGCATACCTTACAGCCCCTCCCCCTCTTTTTCCCCTCCGTTGCCTTGCAATGTAAGTGTAATTAGGCAGGTAGGTAGGTAGTTGTACCCCCCCCCCCTCCAGGACATCACACAAGCGATAAAGACTCGATGACACAAAGTGCCACCATGCGGATGAGGATTACCCGTGGAGAGATCACAGAAACCCCTTTCATCCGTTAGCCCATATCTATGGCTAACCCATATCAATTCCCCGACTATATTCAGGGCACTGGCAAAAGCCAGGGTAGGGTTTCAAATTATTTTAAAAAATGCATCCCACAAGGGTACGACTAAATTAAGTGCAATTAGACAAAGGTTACTGTAGTTTAACATTCCCAAACCTGCGGAAGGCAAGGGGAAACTAATGTTGTGACTGTCCCTACTATATTATGTCTCTACACTACAAGCATAAGTGAACCAGGTGTTTTGAAAGAGACGAACTCAGAAGACAAAATATTACATAGCGTTATTAGGAGGAAAACTGGGACGTGTTGTGGCCACCGGGAAAAATGTGTAGAATGAGAGATTGTGGCAGACAAGTGCGAGAAGGTTCTTGACAACCTTTGTGCCATGGTATGAAGGGACAGAAATTAACATCAGTCTTAATAGTGCTCCTGACAGAGCTCATCAACGAATGTTACATCTCTCTCCCCCCCCCCCCTCCCCCGGACACTTCGCTGAGGTACATGACGAAAGAGAAGGAAAAGAATATTTTGTTTGTTTGTTTGATGCACAGGGCGCTTGAACTTGGCGGCTCAGGAGCCTAGTCGTGTATTGCGTATTCATCTTCTGCTTTTTGTCTCCCAATGGAGCATAAGCCCTCAGGTTAACTCACGTCATTCACATAAATAACCGAAGTGGGGCCGGGGGGGGGGGGGGAGATGGGAGCTTGCGACCGTAGAAATTATATATATAGATTAAACAGACAATTTACTGATCGGCACTCATAGAAAGAAGTAGAAAGATAGGAGAACACAATAGACAACATATAAATCGAAAGCTAGAGTTACCGTTCCGGGAATCGAATCTGTCACCCCAAATAGAGTGTGCGCCTCGCTGTGTAAACAAAAATACTAAGAACATGACCTACTAGACACCCCTAAAAAGGGTGTCTTCAATCGCCATGTCTATCGTACAGCTTGAAATCCACAACTATGGAATACGGACAGAATTCATCTCAAACCATTGAAATGGCACTATAGGTTACCGAAATTTATAATAAAAAAACATAGGTCGAATAACAACAGCAATCCGTCTACTTCTTTCTACGAGTGCCGATCAATACATTGTCTGTTTATTTTATATATTATATATATATATATATATATATATATATATATATATATATATATATATATATATATATATATATATATATAAGTTAACTCGCGCAGTCTGTCCTATCCTTTGCTATTGCAAAGCAGCTTTTCCATGGCCTCCTTAGCTTTTTACGTCACCATCTAAATTCCTTGTGATTTTTTTAAGCAAGCTTTTATGTATATGCCACTAAAGCTTATAGTCTAAAGCCTGTCTTGTTATAGGTCTAGTGTTCTCGGGTTTTATCAAAGTATGTCATATCCAATGTCAGCGTCTTTTCTGCACCTCTTGATTCACTGGAATTTGTTTAGTTTGTTCCTCAAAGCTTCACAGTGTTGTAACAAGTAATGTACTAAAGTATATGATACTGTTGACGATAGCATTAATAATGACGATATGATGGGGATGACGATGCTCTTATGATATGAACGATCGTGGTTGCAATGATGATGATGTTCATGTCCATAATGAAAATAATAATG